GAATAGGGAGAATAGAAGACTGTGGACCAGGTATTCGCTTATGCGTGGAAAACATATGTACAGAAGTTTAATGAAGTTATAACTATTCAAATAAAACTCATGCTTTTTTCTGTAATGGTAACCACGCTTTATAGTCTTGGGGGAGGGATGATTACAGTGTTGCCTGTTGAGTGGTACCATACCAGGACTGTAGAGACAATATGGTGGTGCATAGCAAGCTGAGCTAATAGACCCGGAGGACATTTCCTGGTAACCTCATTCTTTTTACTATTATGTTGTCGTCATAAGTACAAGAGCCGTAGGTTTCATAAAGATACCGCCATAGAGGCAAGGGTAGTTCAAGTTTATCTCCGTACTACCATCCCTGTTGGTCATTTGTCTCCATCTTCGCATATTTTCACGTTATTTTTAAAAAAACTTCTGCGCTACGCTCAACAGAGCTGGCGGTTACCGGGATATTTCCAGCTTACTGTCAGCCGGCTAAGACAGTGCATACATCATTGACTTAATCGCCCCTTGGTATGTACCACATGTCAGGCAACACTTGTGACCATTTTAACTCTACTCATGCCATAGTCAAGCTTGATCTATCACGCAAAACTGGCCTGTACTATTGTACAGCACGAAGACTCCCATCTTATTACAAAGAGAAAAGGGAGCGGTGGGCGGAATGCTTATTTATAGCAGGGGTTAAGAGTGGCCGAACTATGGCAGCATTGAGATTAGGAACAGTAACCAGTATCAAAAACAATTAACACAAGTTCGCATAGAATGGTATGCAAGTCAACAAAAATTACCCACCGTCCGATAAATTATCGAGTGGTTGCATTAGATTATTGGGTATTTTACTCTAGAAATTTGGTGGGCCAATAAGGAACGTGATGTTATCTATGTAGGGTGCATTCAGAATCCTGCGTACCCCAAGCTCATTGAGGTAGTGGTTCAAGGTCAACTGAAATTGAGATATGGTCTTGCGGCATCAGATATCATGTGACAGCCCGTTCCAAATGCTAGCCTAACGAGCATTAAAAAACGAATAGTAATTTAGTACAAGCATTTTTGCGATGAATATCTTCACACCGCGGTATTGTTTGGTGTTGGTAGTGGTTCGAGCAAAATCAGTTACCATCATCTCTCGGAATGTTGAAATTATTTGCTCAGAAATTTGCGTAGGAGGACTTTCAAGTCGGTTGGTATATAATAAATAGCAGTCAAATTATGCAATATTAAAATGAATTTATCTTAGTCGGTGGAACTGTCATGAGAGTTATGCATGAGCAGAAAGTGGCAGTTTTTGTAGGAATATGCAATTATTTCGGTTAGCATACGCTTCTTGGTCCAGAGCAGCTCCTAATTTATGAGTGCATTGTTTCTGTACTGTGCACTTGGTATCTTTATGTTTCACATGGCGAAATATATGGCAGTGACTACACAGCATAGCTTACATGGTTATATAGGTTATATATGCATCAAATCCACGGTTCTGTTTAATGTTTATATAGTCCTAAAGAAGGGGGAACGTCAAGAATTCTGAGTTGGCACCGTACAGTAAACAAAAGTTTTTTTACTCAATATATCGTCCTATATGAGGAAGAGGGATCGGTCAGTGATGATGATCACATACCCTCAGCAAATTGACAGTATTCCCAGAAAAATGGCATCAAAATTCTGCTTACGAGAATCAACTCAACGAAAAAACTTTCAAGGAGAGAGTCAAATTACAAGCAGTTACTTCATAGTGTAATCCTGGCTGGAGCCAGGATAAAATGTCGGGAACAGTGAAACAACGCCATGCTGTCAACAGTGCACCATTACAACAGAAAAGCGGGTCATTAAGGTTAAGTCACGGTGAAGGCAAAGACAATCGGTATGTTAAGTCAAAGAAAATGGCCAAATGGCGAAATAACATCACACATACCAGGGGTGATGGATAATATTCACAAACTGTAGGAAATATTCAAATATATATCAATACTGCCAAACAGTCCTCGGAAGGGATCTTCGAGTCACTCGTCCCGTCATCCCCAACGAAATGTGCAATAGCTGTTTTGGCCAAACCCGCCATCAGAAACACCTCGAATTCCTGGAAACTATAGAATTGCTGTCCCTCAGAATCCATTCCCCCTCATTTGGCGGAAAGCATGTCTTTCTGGCACTCCTAGCCCAAACCCTAGGTTGCCTGTGGGGGATACAATTGATCGACGGCAGAAAAGAAAGAAGTCCTTGACTAAGCCTCCTTTTCAGCCTGATGATTGATGCATTCGTGGTCTCACTGTATCCAAAACGGACGCGACTTTTGAGCGTAACATCTGCAACAAGCGGGCATGGTATGGGTGCCATAGGCGTGCACTAGACCAGTATTACGTCTCCATGGCGCGTCACCCATACGCTTAGTCGTGGTAAGCCTGCCCACAGAGCCGTATGGGGCCACTCCTCTCTACAGACTGTATCGAGGGGGTTGTGAAAGGCACCTAAGTGGTTACCGGGATGCTGGCGTCCACACAAACCGCTGCTGCAAGTGAGAGTACGAAAAACTGTCAGCATCGTTCCTCAGACAGTTACACCTTCGAATAGTCGAAAAATGGCCAAGCGACGACAAGCCACACTGGCCCCAATGTTGCTCCAACACTGGAGCCTACTGCGCAGCGGGAAAAACGGTTTACAGTCGAGAAGAAGGCACACCCTCGACACAGAAACTCATCCACAGTACACGACAACGGGAATGTGGATGACAGGCAGAACTCCACTATCTGATTCTGATGTTCCTATGTATCATGACAGTTTCCTCGAGAAAAGTGGGTCTTTCGAAAAATAACATTGGGAAATCGCATGCCTCACATTAGGACTAGGCGGCTAAGAAGGAAAGGTATTCCGGCTCTACAAATGCCGTGCCTTGCAGAGCCTCTGCATGAATACTGCACACGACTGAACACACCCCCATCCAGCCAAAATCATCAACTTCCTGAACAGCCTTCAGTATGAAGAAATGCAGTAAAGTTGTGTCGAATAAAGTTGACCCTTTGCTGCAGCCGTCGAAAAACTGTCAGCGCTCAGCTCAAGGAAACCACCGAGGTGCGGCGACGTCGGTCGGTCTGTGTTCGGACAATGTTCTCTGAGAACACAATGCAATAAAGACAACCTGCCTGAGCTACAAGTATTCTTAGCGTACAGATACCTTATGCGGTTTGCCTTGTAATTTCTTTGCACACTCCCTCGACAAAAACATGGTTCCACGCGAGTGGAAGCGTTCTACCCTGTCTCCTATCTTCAAATGTGGAGGCACGTAGAGCCCGAAATTCCACCTACACATAGCACGCCTACCAGTAGTATCGATAGTGATGGAAAGCCCAGTGGACGGCCATGTCAGGGAGTACCTGGACAAAAAAAGGGAGCACTTAGTGACGCTCAATGTGATTTCAGTTGAGGTAAGTCACACGCTCAAACCTCCCGTTAGCCAACGATGACTGGACAGCATACTGGGACCTCCAAGCCCGTGTTCACATGATTTTCACAGATTTTGCTGGGGTCTTCGATGCGGTCCTGCATCATTCCCTACCTCAAAATATCAAGGTTGGGTACCAGAGGCCAAGTGCTCTCCTAGCCGCAGGACTATTAAGATGGCAGAGAATTCTACCCAAAAGTCGGGAGAGTTTGCTGTACTTGGAGGACATAATTATCTAGCGTGCCGCAAGCAGTGATTCTGGGTTTACTGCCATTCATTCATTTTGCGAAAGACCTTCCGTTAAATCTCAGCTCCCTAAATCTGATTTGCGCCGATAATGTTAAGCTACGAAGATCTGTGCTATCCGAAGCAGAATCAAGAGCAGTGCAAAGTGATCCCAGAGTACTTGCAGAGTTTGTGGATAATAGCGGAATAGCACTTAATCTGTGTAAATACCGAACCATGCTTCTCCGCACCCTTGGTCCTCAGAAGGTATCCTGCTTTCTCTGCGAAACGTAACATTTCGCAACACCATGAAGAAGAACCTGGAACTAATACTGACTGACATGCCAGAGACGAGCTTCAACTACCCAGGATATGCCTCCAGGACCTACGAATTACTGCTTTTCATGGGCAAACATCTAGATGCCCTCACTCGGGAACCCTTCCGGAGGCTGTACGAGGTCTACATGCAATGTAAGTCGGAAGTCTACAACATCACTGGGGGGACATTCGGAAAACAGGTATGAACCTCCTGGGAAGGTTAAGAGGCAAGCAATGAAGGGCTCTGTGGGAATGAGGTAAACACAGGATATGGATAGGGTGAAAGACCTTGAGATTTGTAGGTTACCTGGTGACTTCATGGCGACTTTCAAAATACTGAGTAGTCCGAGTTGTCTGAACGGTAGAATATTACTGGACGGCGGCTTTGGCAATCCACATGGTAACTGAAGGAGAATCGCCCACTAAACGGCGGAGAACTGTGTGCATCCATATTTCCCTTTACGAGCTAGGGACTACTACAGGAACTTCACTGCTACTGCACTCTGTTGCGAACTTCAAGAGGAGGTTGTAAAACTATGCGGCGTAAAACAGTTTGCGCTCGCCCAACTGAAATGCGGACTAGATTGATGCAACCTAATTAACTCCATACAACCTAGCACAGTCAACCCTTTGCCAGATCTTTTTTATGGCCACTATTAGCGCGAACCTGAATCATTTCCTCCTCCTTGATTTTTTTCTGGACATCTTGCCTATTTTATTTTTAAGATCAGTTGGACAAAATATCTAGTAGCACGACACTTGAGAAAACCATCTGAACCATAGTCCTTGGAATAACCACATAATCACTAAGAATTTACTCAACGACCAAACGCTCGTCGGGATAACCTTCGCTACAGGAAACGACTGGGAAGACCTATGGCATTGGAATCGAACGACGACTTGAAAAAATTCCTCAGGACCTAGAAGTGAGCGCGAAGAAACCAAGTGGTTGATACTAGCTCGTGACGAAATAATGGAAATTAGCTTGAATTGCAGGAAAGCGCCCAGTGCAACTACTACGTAACTGTCAAGGTTGTTGTCGTATTTCATGTCGTAAAAAGTCTTCGTTTACCCTCAGTTCGTCACTTTTGTTTCGTGACTTAGATGAGTATGTCAATAAACTGCTGATAGCAACTAGAGATGTTTGTAGGGTCACGTATTTTATGACTATATAAATTTAGTTCGTAACGCAAATGTAAGTGAGTTAATTTCCTGGTGAATGTCCTTTCATATAAGTTCAGAGCCTTATTTCCTGCAAGCGAAAACGATTTCCAGACAGCTTCATCCTTCTTACGTATTTTCTCTCCAGAGTGGCCGCTGTCATGGCTATCCAATGATTATTTGATAGTTACCTTGTTTATTGTCTTGTAGCTTGTTCAAAACTGTTAAGAATCCGTATAGCTTGAATAAGTTCTAGTGTCACGTTGATACTTCATATAAGCTTCGGAAAGTCAAGGTATCATAACACGTAACAGAGTATTTTTGTGTTTTTATATGTAATTGGGCTGATACATCACCTTGGCAGTATTTTTAAGGAAAAACAGGTTTGTTTGCAATGCATAGGCGGTATAAATAAATCAGTCAGTCTTCAGTGTTAAGGATCGTTGGCCAAGTGGCCTGTGTTAGTCCTAGCAGGTTATGTGGGTGTGTGGATTCAGTTTCTCTTTGGAAGTGTTCTTCGGAGTTGTTCCAGTAATCGTTTCAGTTCGAATGACGCTTGTTGTTAACACTACAGTTCACCCTTATCTTATTCCTGTGATATCTAGTACCATCCAGTTGCTGATACCGTCAGAATAAAGTGCAAAAGTTCTCTACAATGTATCGATTCATTTAAGACTCAAGCTTTTATGAAGCTGCGAATCACTAGTCTAGGCACTCGACTAACAACCAATGGGTTAAGTGCTGGAATTTCACACTGTCACAAGATAGGTGTGGCGCATCGTCTACTGCAAAAGCGTTGACGTGGTTGCTGAGCTGCATCCTAGCTAATCATTATCCATTCGGGTTTAGATAGAATCCTATATACGTCTCCCAGGTTGTGAAATCAAAATCTTAGTGCGATATATTTGTTTTCTGACGTTATCTAATGACAAACTCATTTTTCTGTGGTTGAAAATGGTATCTTAAACGTGTATCACATAACTAAATACGTATAACTACCTCTAATGCTTTTTAATACAGTGAGGAGTGGCTTAAAATCTTATTCTTACTGATCTATATCTAGGGTGGTTGGTTCACTAAGTTATCGGTAAGAACGCTATTTAGCGCCACTCTACAGCCATCTTTGCGTATCGTTTAATCAGTATTTTTCTGGTCAAAGCAGAGATATGAGCTATGCAAACTTTCGCTGCACACAGAGGTTTTAGTAGTTTCCTCTAGTTCCCATGACGTTAGCAATATTTATTAAACGAATATGAACCTCATTGGGAAGCTTTGGGGAATATGGTAGATCTTTTTGAGTGCCTTGAACTTATTGAATGTGACCACTATGGGCTAATGCGACAAAATTGGACTTCGTATTGACTTCGCTCATCCCTTTCTTACCCTCGTACGTAGACGGTCAGTAACAGGTTTATTAGGCTACTTAGTAGTATATTGGACATAGCTTTCTCTACAGGAGCAGGTGAATTCGAAGACAGAGAAGTGGATAAACTATTCCATACACATAAATATAATTATGTTTACTGAAGTGGAGGTTGAGATTTAGTTGAGAACGGTTTTGTTTTCTTGCATTTCTTATCTCAGATTTTTCCGCCTCATAAGAATGATTTGAGCTTGAATAATGTGTGGGAAAAGCCCAAGTTTTACTTGTATATCTGCCTCGAAGGGTTTCCAACCGTATGGTAGCTTTTGATGTCACTTGGCATCTTGAATTGCATTACTGAAGCATATTTACTCCTGGTAAACATTCTACTACCTACTGTCTGGTGCGTAATCAATGCATTTCTGTCGGCTTTGAATGGCAATGCTTATTCATGCTCATAGGTTTCCCACTTTGCGAACATTATCAAATCTTGTATACGATTAGTTGTTGCTTAAATAGCTTGCTAGTGAAGGTTTTGCCTCTGAAACTGAGGGATGTAGGCTTATATTGCTTAGGAAACGCTAATTTCGTTGTTGGGTTCGATTTCACCTATCAGATATTCATAAACATACATCCACGGCCATAGTTTGGTCAGAATTTTTAGATTTCTTTGATTAAATGTGCCTTCTTCTGCGTTTTTACGGAATTTTTCTGCGCGTAATTACTTGAAATTTCGTTACCAATAAATTCCTTCTTGTATCTATTCTACGATCGACGTTTCTTATCGCACATCAATGTGCCACATAGGTGACATGCCGTTCATAGTATAATATGTCTTCAATATACCGTACACTGGTTAGCTGTTGCTCACTAGTAGGTTGGGTAATTTTTTAGGTGTTTAGGTAGGAAACCGTCTCACCATTCGAGATTGTTATTATTATTATTATTATTATTTGTCCCTTGGGTTCCTAATGGAACATAAGGCTTCAGTAGCACGTCTCCATTCCACTCTGTTCTCTGAAATCTCTTGAACCTGGCTCCACGACAGCCCACAAGCTCTCATTTCCTCTTCGCACGATCTCCTCCATGTCACCCTCGGATGCCCAACTCGTCGCTTTCCATCTGGGTTCCATTCGAACGACTGGCCTGACGCGTGATGTCCCCAGTCGGCCTTCTCAGTGTATGCCCAATCCATCTCCACTTCCTTCTCCTGCATATTTGTTGAGCAATAGGTTCTTGGTTGGTTCGTTGCCAACCAGCCAGAGTTCCTTGTTGCTTATTCTTTCTGGCCATCTGATCTTCAGTAACGAGCCAGCGTAGACAGTTGTTGATGAATGTCTGTGGTTTGTTGGAAATGCCTTTCGTAACGCGCCAAGTCAATGTGCCATACAGAAGCACTGACTTGACTGAGTTGGTGTTGAAAATCCGGGTCTTGTTCCACATACTGAGTGCAGATCTCCTCACTGGTTTCAGGCTAATGAACGCCTGTCTTGCTTTTCCGATCCTGGCTGCTTTGACATCCTCGTCTGTGCCGCCTGTAGTTGAAACGGTGGTGCCTAGAGATAGGTGAAAGGGGCTACTTCCCTTAAGTTTCTCTCGTTGATGGTGATTGGAGTTTGTTGTTGTTGGTTGGGTATCTTCATCACCTCTGTCTTCTCTATATTCACTTGAAGTCCCGTCTTCGCTGCCCTGCCTCTTCTGTCAACTTGTTAGTTTTCGCCTGTAGATCTTCAAGTTTGTGTGATATCAGACACAAGTCATCGGCAAAATCCAGATCTTCTAGGTCCTTTTCCCCGGTCCAGCGTATCCCCCTCTTCTCGCTCCTCACAGTTTGTTGCATGATCCAGTCGACCACAATCAGGAATATCATGGATGATAGTAGATAGCCTTGTTTTACTCTTGTCTTCACTTCAAAAGGTACCACTGAGCTTCCCGTTTTGAATTACTTGGCATGTGGCGTCCTCATATAGTTGTTGAATGAGGTTAATTAGGGTTTGTGGCACCAAAACCGTAATGTTGAAGCAACTGCCAAATTACTTTTTGGTCGACGCTGTCAAAGGCCTTTTCAAAGTCGATGAAGTTGAGGTAAAGTAAAGAGTTGACTACCATTCTATACTTTGTTCTATGATGATGCGAAGCGTTGCAATTCGGTCCGCATATGATTTGTACTTCCTGAATCCAGCCTACTTTAGTCTCTCCAGGATGATGCGGCCTAGTATTTTGCTTGGGGTAGACAGGAGCATGATTCCGCGCCAGTTTTTGGGAACACTTGGGTCACCCTTCCTTGGGAGTTTGACAAGGTAGCCCTTCTTCCAATCAACCAGCAGGTACCTTCCCTTCCTTCCACACCTTCTGCAATAGTGGTGTGAGCATGTCCGCTGTTTTCTCTGCATCTGTCCTCAGTGCTCCTGGCGAGATTCCATCTGGTCCTGCTGCTTTCTCGCATTTCAGTAGCTTTATGGCGCTCAGGACTTCGACTTTTGTTGGAGGATTTGTGTTCACTTGCAGTTCTGTGGCTACAGGTGATATTTCTGGACGAAGTGCAGGTGGTGGTCGATTCCAGAGCTTCTTGATGTGGTCAACCATTCGAGATATTTGACTTTAACTATGTATGTTACAAGTTTAAATTTTGCTCCGCATACGGAGGCTCGTAGTGACCAGACTAAAACTTGGCATCAGTGCATGAAGTCTTTAACTGCTCTTTTGAGCCATGTAGGGCTATGCAGACTATCCGGTTGGGGTCTACGGGACAATGGAAACTAGTAGTTGGTGACTCAGAACCCTTGTCAGTGGCGCAGATGTATGTACGCATTCTCCTCATCTTAGTCGCTATACTTAATCTCATCATTTTCTCCTTGCACCTCTCTCTCTTTTACTACTTTCTATGTCTTTTGACCGAGTTTTTTTCAATCTTCCATTTTACTGTCTTGTTACTTGATGTGCTCATATGAGCTGTTGGAACTTGGACCGCTGTATTGTATTTATGCTACTCTGAAATGTAAAACCTTGAACTCGCTTTCATTTATATGAGGATCTGCGTTGATCTGTCTGCTCGTTTAACTCTGCTGCAGGTAACTTTGCCTGTCGATGTAAGCGGTAGCTCAGTATGAGTAACGAAGCTGCGCACTGAATTATTGAACAGGTTATTCGTAATAGTGCCCTGAAACTGAGTAACAATAGGAATTTCTGTCATTGGTTTCTAATTTCCACTTGGGAATATCATATCCCACATCATGCAGCATCTGTAATGCTCCCTAGGGTTTCAAAGGTGTCTTTGATCATCCTGAAAAACCAATAGTTTACGTCTTTGACTCATATGTATTTAGTTAGACAGTAAGAAAAACCTACTACGTAATTTTATGGTAGCAGATGACCAATCCAAGTTAAGAGTTCATTTATTCTGCCAAGGTCCTGAAGTACATGTGTACCACAGGTCTAAAATCAGATTTTAGTGATGATTCTACTTCCGCATCAAGTATCTACCTTCGATCCCCAATTTTTGTACGACAACGTATCGCAATAGTTCTGAAAAAGCTAACTCTACATGTCTTATGATATTGCTTAGGAATATTGCTTCACATCGTTAAAATTATTCTTCCCGTTTCATGTTTCATGTTGTGGTATTTTCTATGTTGACTTTATTTCGCTAATCTGCAGTATTTCTTGCTCTACATTTACAGCAAATTGATTGAAGTACTTTGAAGTCATCGTTTATAGGGTGCCACGTTTTTCAAAATACCTGTGCTGTGCTTTTTGATTCAGCACTGAACATTCTTATAATGCCCCATAAAAAGCAAAAACGAAAACATAAGAAATCAAGCAGTGACTCTTCTGTAGGTTTTTGACTACTATCTTGAGTCATTGGTTTAGTCTTCAGATAGTAATTATGAGTGGGAACAATCCAGTACAAATTTACCAGAAACACCTTCTGAGAAAAGTACAATACAGGTAAACTAAAGTGTTCTTCCAAATCACTGTATTAATTATAGGAGAATAGCTGGATCACTAATATTAACTCTATGGACAGCTTCTTCGATACATTTACCTCAAAGTCAAGAGGGAATAAAATGAATAAAGTCAATCAGAATAACTCCGCAATGAATGAGCTTAATCCTTACTTGAAAGATGGTGGGAGTGGTTTACCAATTAATGAACCTTCTTCTAAATCCATACTAACAAAGGAAAATCAATCGTGGCTATACAAGTCGTTTAGTCGTTGTGTTGAAACATCTGAAGAGACTGGTGTTAGCTTAAGGGAAGTACTACTCCAGCGTTGGGATGCAATTACGGTGAATGATATGTTAAAGATATTCGGTGACAGACATAGTCATGGCAAATGGTAATCGATATACATTTTTATACTATCATATTGCATTTGTATCGTACCTTCTATTCTACATTTTTTTGAATTACTCACTACTGTAATTTTTCATGATCATTTATAGCACTTAGTTTATTCTCATATATTATGGACCGAGGTTGCCACACTGACCGCTGCATATCGGGATCTCTTGAGCCACCAAGTAGCATAACTTGTCAGTCCATATCCATGAGGTTAAGATAAGTTAATAAATATTGACCAAGTACGACCAATTTCATTTCACTTCATTGCTTCATAAACTTATTACAACTATTTGATTGAGTGCGTCGACGAATCTTTTTGTAAGACTCAGACCAATATGTGCAGATGTTTATAAATCGACAAAGGTAATTCTGTAGAAAGACCTCGTAGTAATGAAAATCGTAGTGCCAGTAAGGTGATCATCGATTCATCTAGAACTCAAAAGTATAAACAAGGGGAATAAAATGAAAGAGACTGCGTATATCTGATCACAACTCATTTTTCACTTTCAGATTAACCATTAAGTCGACACTATAGAGGCAGTAGGGTTTCATATAAAGTTTTAAAATCGATCGGTTTACTTGCAAACTTTTATCTGTGGTTAGGTGTTTTGTTTATGCTCACCTAACCAGGAACAAGAAAGATAGCCTCAACGAATGATGTTACATATTCGTTTCTGTCTATTGAGAAGACCGATTTGAAAGCGTTTGCTATTCGCGAGGCAAGTCAGTTATCCTATAAAATGGAAGATTACTTCGATGAACAACCCGTCTCTCAATCACTGACTACGCAGTCGCAACTGGAATGAAACATTAAAACTGTCTTTATTGAGCAATGGGCAACCGGAAGTGAGAAACACTAGAAAGTGCTGATGAGTTCCTAACAGAATTTTTTTAAATTGAGTGATAGAACAATAATGATTACCCTGAAGCAAGTGTTATCTAAGGTGAGGAAAGGATGATTTCTTTCGAGTATTATTGATTGTTTTTTTATGAAAGACTAGAACTCTTCCAGTGGTAAATTGCGACGAAGTAGTTCCTATGATCTAAAACTTGTTATAAACTAAAGTCTAAAAGGAGCTCACGAACATCAAATCCAGGGAGTTTTTGGGTTTGATTGTGCGTGTATCAATATGATATCGAAACTTCACTTCGAAATGGTGGAGAATATTTGTATCTCAGGTTGGATGGTCTTGGTTGCATTGTGTTCTGTGAGCTGGGTTGTTTAGTCGTGGAGCTTTCATCGTCTTTCTGCATGAAATCATCAGCACTAACTTCCGTATTGAGCTGTCAATATCTCTCCATGAGTGATTCAGTAGCTTGCCCTGACGAAGTGGCATGTGGTTGTTTCCTTTGATTGTTGTATCATTGGCTGTATAGATTTTCCTGTTGGCTGTTCATCTGCTTGACCTCTGACCTTTCTGTCGTTCGTCATTTTTCTCATTGGTTGATTGGTTGGGTCTGTGTCTATACATCTGTTGATTGCTGACTGACCTGAATGCCAAGCTTCTAGGAATTCTCTGGCATTCTTTGTGTTTCCTTTGTCCAAAATTCCTACATTGTCGAAACTGAATTCATGTCCATAATTATGCACATGAATTGAAATGAGTGATGAAACTTCGTGACGTTTAATAGCCAATTCGTGTTCATGTAGACGAAGGTGAAGAGGGCGACCACGTTGTCCAATGCAGTGTTGATCACAACTATTGCAGTTGATTTTTTAACGATTTTCGGTTTGTCTTCTCTGGTTGTTGCATCCTTTGGTCTGCATAATATGGTTTAGATGGAATTTGTAGGTTTATGAACTACACCAATCCCAAGTGGTTTCAGTAATTTTGTCGTGATTTCTGATATATTCTTTATGTATGGTAAGATGATGCGTTTGATGATTTCTGTTGATGACTTTGTAGCTGATGATGGACGAGATGAGCACCTTCTGATAGAGTTTCGTGTGTAGCCGTTCTTTTTTAGGATAGACATCAAGTAGTTTTCTTCGTTTCTCCATGAAGTTGTTGTGCTGCAGTGTGTTCTCGCTCTTTTTTCAATAGAGTCTGCACTCAAGTAATTTTGTGCATTGTTGTTGTTGCTACTTGGGTTGAGGATTTGGTCAGTGTGTGTACACTGTACACTTGGATTTCCAGCTTTCCGGCATTTGTCCTACTGACTAAAAGATCCATGAATGGTGTTTGATTGTTTCAGTCCTTCGCCACTGTGAATTTGATGTCATTGAAAGCGTTGTTGGTCAAACCTGTGAGTGTTTTCTATATCATCTTTTTTAATGATGACAAAAGTGTCGTCCACATAGCGAATCTAGAATTTTGGTTTGATCACAGGTAGGATGATGGCTTCCAGTCTCTGCATCACTACTTCTGCAACTAGTCCGGATATCGGTGATCCCATTAGAGTTCCTTTCATCTGTTTGTATACTTTGCTATTAAATTGGAAGTATGTTGTCATACAAAGGTCGATGAGTTCCACCAGACTTGAACATTTAAGTTTTGTGCGTTTTGTAAGGCCTATATCTTCAGTGAACAGGTGGAACATAGTTTCCTTGGCCAATTGAAGGTCGATTGCTATGTATAAGGCTGTGATATCGAAGGATACCATTAATTCATACTCATCCCGCATCCCATGTAAAAATTAAGGGACGCTATTAGTAAAGTGTAGAAAAGGATAACTAATTTTTCGTGCTTGGAAGTCAACAGGACCAACTATGTTTTGGATCGAGAGGTATTGTTTTTCAATAAAAGGGAGATGCAATATCCAAGAAAATAGATGAAAGAATCAAACGTAGAGCTCAGGAACTTTCCTGCAGCTAAATTTGTATCAGTGTACATTACCATATACTCGTTGAACCAGTAAAAACTGGATAGTCACTCTTTTCATGTCACCTCCAACTATGTTTATGAACTCATTTACACTTGTGGTAGCGAGTACATTGGAAGGACTGAGAGGGGGGCGTCCATTCGGTTCGCTGAGTATATTCCCAAGAACGTGTGCTTGAAAGGAAGTAAAATTCTAACCAGTACAATTGCCAGACACCTCGTAAACACAGGACATCAGGTTGAAACCTCAAGTGCTTTTAAATTCATAAACGTACAGAAAATATGTGGATTACTGCGCTTCGCGGAAGCCATTGCAATAAGAAACTTTTAACTTGACCTTTGTATACAGAAAGAGAGTGGTTAGTCTCTCAATTTCTTGGTAAATATGATTTGATCCTGTTTCATTTTATTTACATAACACTTTATTTATTTATTTACTTATTATTCTTTACGTCTCTTACCTCAGTACAATTAATCCTCCTGCATGTTATGTGGATTATCAATGATTTGTTATACAAACTGAGACTATTGATTTCGTAATTTTGAAATATCTTATGTGCTAATAACCAGTGTACTTTTAGACTGTATGTAACTGAAGAGTATTCATGAAATAAAATGATATCCTTATATTCAGCGCATTTCATCCATTTTGCTTCAATAAGATTTATCGAGGGATCTAAATGCATTAAACTTGTCTATTTCTTATAAAATTCGCTGCAGTGATCAAATTTGATCTACTTAACCATTAACTTGGGCTAATCCACTAGTCCGTTGTAGACAGTCATGTATTCCTTTTCTCTTCTTGTAACACCATTATCATCATTTAATCCTTTGTTTTACTTTTTGTTTTTAGTTCCAGATTACAATATATCTCTCGTGCATCAGATGCAAAACCACGTTGGCTTAAATCTCAGTCTACTAATCCATCACCACCTTCATCTTCTAATTCGCTTAGAGATCATTCACCTAAACATTTTGGTATGTTTTATGCATCCTTAAGAAGAAACAGTTTGATTATTTCACCTTGTGTTTATTAGTACAATGATTTTTAAAGCTGCTACGTCTTTGTTCATAGTTATTTTTGTATGACATTGCTCATTAACACATCATCTAGTTAATAATGATCTAAACTATGAAATAAAATCGAGTAAAAAGTGGCGTCTGGAGTTAAATAGAGTTACTTTCATTATCAGTTACTAATACTACTGTGAGTATTACTAAACAGATTGGAGCATATTTTCGAAAAGTTTGAAAATGATGGTTCTACTACAGTAATTCAACATACATAACTCCATTGTCATCTTACAGTAAGTATTGAATTATCTGCTGTGGACTTAATTAATGTTCATTCCCTCTTAGATTACTTGCTAAGACTTTGTTTTTTTGTTTTATTCTCAGGGAAAGCGTAGACTAGTCTGTGCAGATCTAACAGTGCAGAACTTCTGCATAGATCTTACCATAGCTTTCAGGTGCTTTTAACTAATTTCTTCAATTCATTCATTCAGTTATACCGAATCAATATGGTACGTGGAATTATAGCATAAATTATCACACCTCGAGGCAGAAGGCAACTAGAAGAGAAGGAGAAATAGGGGAAAGGGTAGTTAAACGTTTGGAAGCTAAGACCCTAGCTCATAGAGCAACTCACTCTAAACATTTACACCATGAGCCACAAATATTCGCCACAATCTATAGATCATCTAGGTACCAATCTCTTCTACATATTTCATGATGAGCGACCTTCACAGAAGGGCAAGCTTCCGTCCGAGAACAATTTTCCTTACTGCATGAATGTTTACGACTGCACACTTTAATTACCAGCTTGAGGTACTAATCACCAATCAGCACACTACTAGGTTGGGAAATAGCATATCAAAATGGACGGAGAATGCTCCGTGCAGTGATCGCAAAGCCCCATGGTCGGTTATGGAAGTAAAACCTTGGGCAGATATTAGACTCAACTATCTGCAATCATTTCTGGAAGAAGAAACCTTCGAAACACTGACCAAAGTTATGCCTATTATCACTTAAAGAAAAAGAGACCAGCGTAAAGAGGAATTCGGTATGAAACTGGAAAGTTATCAGTTACACCGAATAATAAAACCTGCAGAGATACGATAGTGAATCTCTTTTTTCAACTACTCTCAGTTTCAGAAAACGTTTTGTTAGGAAAATGATTGAATTTCGAGACAAGCAATATGACTGACCTAGAACTACTTGCAGCTCTAGAATCATCTGTGAAGACCACGAATCGCACAAATGATGATCAAAAGAAATTTGTCAAACAATGGTTCTACTGATGAAATGCAAACCCCGAAGTAGCGGTTTAAGTTGCAAGGACAAAAATACAGTAAAATCGCTTGAAGACAAAGATATTGTGATTTTACCAGCAGGAAAAAGACGGACAACAGTCTTGCTAGGCTGACTGACCAGCAAAATCAACGAAGAACCTCGCACACGAGTGCATCGGTTCAAGTTGCCACACTTTACAGTAGTACTCAAAAAACAGGTAGATAGAAAGAGAGTGATATCAAAGTAGACATTAGTTGTGTAAGAGAATAAACAAAATCTGAAGACAAAGGTTATTGTGAATATTTAAGCTTTAGGAAATGCCAGAGAGTGAATATATATGCACCGTTGTGACTGATTTCCATATCACTAAGTGTCCTAAACCACTGATTCTTTTCATTTAGTTGACCCTAACTAAGCAGTGTATATCCCCCAACACGACTCAGACCAACAGTAAGACATTTTATCAACTGGTGTCAAGTCTTTGTCTTGCTATCCTGAACACTCTTCAGCCTAAGCCAACTTCCCCTAGCATGACACGTCGAGCTAGGTGGTGGTTCGGCACGCACAGTACATGTCCAAGCCGTTTCAGTCAACTTGCCTATCTTGCTTGGTATTTTTCGTCTGACCTCAAACTCTAGAAATGTTACGAAGCCATCTGTGATCAAAATACTGTAATTGCTTAATGTCTTTTACTTTTAACGGCCATTTCTCACCGTCGTATAACAGGATAGAACGGACTGCAGCACAGTATACTCATCAGTTGATAGACGTCCGGATATCTCGCCAGCCGATGCCACAGATGACATTAGTTGGCAAATGCCAAACAGGCCTTCTGTATCCGAGCTTAAATTTCGTCAGAAACCAGGCAATTTGGGCTTTCGGAACTATTCAAGTAAATGAAGTGGTCGATACATCCAACCGCTTCACTCCCTAACATAAAACTGGAAGTATTTGCGAATTAATTCTGGAGCATCATCTTGCTTTTGACAGGTGAGAAACTCATACCAAACATACTCAGATTTCTGCTCAACGTGTTCAGAAGACCCTAAGTTTTGCCAGCACTTTCACTTAACAGGTGAATGTCTTCTGTGAAGTCTAGGTCAACCAGATGCTATCCAGGGAGTAAGCCAATCCCTGTGAAGTCAGACGTGCCAAAGGTTATGTTTCTTTGTGCGTCTATGGCGAAGTTAAATACGAGTGATAGCAGTGGATATTCCTGACGAACACGTGCCAGACAGGGCAAAATATTGCAAAAAGGCAACAGAACTGCTTTTTGAGGAAACAATATGCCGAAAACTAGAATGTGATCCCATTGAAAAGCTGGACAATAAAATAGGGCACAAATTAGACAAACTTTTGAAGGAAAGATAAATCAGTAAAGTAGCTAAGTAAAAAATGAAATCAAAAGAACCCATATTTAGCCGTTTTTGCGGTCGCAAACCTCTTTTTTCGCTTCACTTACATTTTTTTCCCATGCCATGAACTAGAATCTAATTAGTTCAACCTATTAGTATGTGCTGCCGTTTTCTTCATTGCATTGGGGAGTTATCATTTAATATGTATGCTTTCAAGTTGCATTTTTTGTATGATTCAATCAATGAATTAATTTTGTCTATCAATTTTTGATATCATTCTTAGAATCACTAACCAGAAAACGAGAAGAAACGACTCAGTCAGTAGTCAATACTGCCAATGATGGTCAACAAGCGTTTGAAGAACGTTTAGTTACGAATGATGATATAAACTCAATGGCTGCAAAAGTGATGCGTGCAGAATTGGAGTCAAATTCTGTAAGAACAGTTATCGGTTAAGCATTATTGCTTTTTTATTTACAATTCCGAACTCGCTACGAAACCTGATAGCTCTGGGTTGAATCTTTTGTGGAGTTAACGGTGCACACAGACGAAACAGCTGTCCTTTGCTCACAAGTTATCAGTGATCCTCTGACTGGTGTATTTATGGTTGTTATGCAGTGGTTAGGACCCCAAAAAGGATGGATGCGTGGAAACCTTTCAGGTAGAGTAACTAGGACTCTAAGCAAACCACTTTAAAGAGCAATCCAACTGACCAATAGTGATGCTTCAGTTGCCAAGCCTCCAGTGCAGAACTTAATAGGACGTATGTGTTGCACCTCCAACTGTCCTCGAATTCGAGAAGACTGTTTGTAACCTGAAAAGATACAAAGCAGCAGGACCTCGTGGTTTTCCATCAAAAGTTTATAAATATGTTATTTAATAATATTCAGAACTCGCGAACAATAAAATAACACAGTAACGTATGTACGAAGATGTGACTAAAGTAAGATAATTATGAAGTGACCTCCGGATAACGATTATTTAACCTAGGGTAGTATGAACGTTAGTTGAAGACAATGAGTTCTCGCCGAGAAATATAGTCACAGTTTATCTGTTACAATAAAGTCATTAAACAGTTGGTTTAACCATACTCTGGATCTCTAGGACATTTGCCTCTTCTAATCTTTCAATTGTTATAGTGTTCCTTTGGCGTTGTTCTCTTTTAGCATTGCTCACGTTATCTGAAACTTTTGAGTTATGATTGGTTTTCTGTGACAGCCATCAGAAAGTTTTATACTTCGGTTTTGTGAATCTCAGTAGTCATCAGAAAAATATATTTCACTCGTAAAAGAGACTGGTTCTCTCAGACATTCAGGTTCATTGTCTAATGGCATGCAAATGTGTCCTTCAAGTCATAGCTACGTGTCTACTCTGTATATAGAGCTTACCTGTTTACCCATTTCTGCATCGTCGAAATAAGTTACTGGGTACTTAGAAATCCATAGTAACTGATTTCGAATAACATTACTTCATATGTACAGCTTCTTTGTGGAAGGCAAAGATAAAGATGATATTTACGCAGTTTAATTGTGATCGTGTCAAGCAAAATAAAGGTACAATAAAAAATGTGTTGAAGGCAGCTCTTTTTTCGAAGAAAGGTTGTGGAAAAGGAAGTTAGTTTTATTGAATTTAGTTGTTAGGTGTTTTCTTAGACCTACTTTTATAAACTTACGTTTTTAGCATAATGGAGTAGCGTACGGTGAAGACTACGCTCAGATGACGCACCTAAAAGGCTGGGTCGAAAAGACGATCGGTTTGAGAGTGATTAGCAGTTTTATATTTACTACTTAGTGGGCTTGATTGCTTTGGGAGCAATAATGATTCTCTGTTATTTACACTAAGCTTCATAGTGATTATACTCATAATCTACTCAAGTGATAAATGCCAAGAAATTCAGTGCATATCTAAGACATTTGTCTACTATTGCGTTTAAATTGATTGATTCGTATACCAGTGGTGACCAACTGGAAAAAACTTATAGTACTATGTCGATTTGTATTACCATGCTTCGAAACACTAAGACAAAAAAGCAAAATACCTTATAAATCATAGATAGAATGAGAAAGGATGAAAGATGAAGATGCTAGTCACACTAGACTGGAATTATAAGTCTTCAGTACTTGCAGAAAAACGTGACATGTTCCATATAAGCTTAATTTTTATCCATGTAATCTGAGTTCTCTCATAGTGCTTCATATAGTTTACACTACCTGTCATGGGCTTTATTGGTTGCACCATGTCCATATCTGGTCACTTTGAAACTTTCTTAGTTTTACGTTTACCCACAGTAGTAAATATCAAAACAACCTGTCTATAACCAAGAGTTTATATACTGGAAAATTCCATCATAATCTCTCTCGACTACGTTCAAGTGGATAGTGTAGTAAGTTCAGACAATTATGTTTCGTCAGGCTAATCAGTCCTCATGTCACAAATAGTCAAGTGGTATTTTGACTGTTAACTCGAGGTTTGAAATGCTTCTTAACAGTTACATACTATTTAGTTTAATTGTAAGCATCTTACACATGTTCACCGCTAGATGTGATAGACAATCAGATTAAGTTGCATTAATCTGTTCATGTTTCGGGTTGTAATATCTGAGGTAGTTCAAATCTACTAGGCTATTGAGAAAGACCGCAGCTCATTATAATAGGCATCAAATATAATCTTTAGATGTTCATGAAACTGTAGGAATATGGTGTATTAATGAAGGGACTTGGGATTTGACCAGTGGGTTATGGGTTTTGACTCCGCTCAACTGAGGTAGCGTTATCGTTCCACTTATTTTAAGTATAACTTGTAGCCTAGTTATTGAATCTTTAGCGTCAGTGCATAAAGATGTTTGAATCTTTTGGTATTGAGCCGAAATTGGAGTGAGAATGTCAGTATTCATTCACATGCAAACACATGCAGCAATGAAACTAATGTTGCAAATTCTTTTGCTAACCACTACGAAGAATATTATTGAGACATAATTTGTATGAGTACAAGTATTTCTTATATTAACAAAGGTTGATCAGTACACTTTTATTGAAAGTCATCAGCTATAACGGATACTAAGCTGGTATTGTAAATACAAATTAATTTTCTTGATATATTTTCCAGTTTTTATGAATAAAAAAATTTTCTCTTCAATCACTCCTGAGTTTTTTAATTACATAGGCCAAAGTACAGAAATTAAAGGCAAATTTAGATAAGTTGCGTGAAGCTATGCATCGTGGTATAAAAGTAAGACTTCATACAATAAAAAAGAAGGCAGCCAGCAATCTACTACAAAATAGTCAGCCGAGAGTCATTGAATTAACACGCTTGAATGATCGAGGTGTTGAGATGCCAGTGCATATAAGAAATCTTCCTGGGACTTCACAAGGTGATGGTAAAAGGTATGTGTGCCTCAACTTTTTTTCAATACAATTGATTGAATAATCTCAATCTATAGTCTGTGCTGATATTGAAATGTAACTCAGTGACATAGATAACCATGCTGAGTTAAAGAAAGATTCACACTTACTTTACGAATCGTTTTAGCTTTTTTATTATTACAGAAACAGCCTACTGATTATTATTTCCTTTTTTCTCTCTGAAGAGGCGATTTTCACGAGGTCGCGAAACCACAAAAATTTATTTTTCTACCTCACTGGGATTTCGCAAATGTATTTCATTTATAACGTAGAGATTAGTTTAATAACTTCTACCTAGTTTTGAAGTTATATTTCTGTGTACCTTAGGAAAGGTTTGTTACAATATCTTATAAAACGTAAAAATCTAGTTGACATTCACTTTATTCAGTAAACTTAATGGTCATAATTTTCATCTTAATAAATATCATTATGGAGAAAACAATATGAAAGGTATGAATCTCTGTAAAGTCACTCCACGATATTGTGTACGACTGCATCTCATTAGTTTATTCTTTGGATTGCTGGTTATTGGCTCATAAGTTCAAAAACGCCTTCAGTTTACTTAAGTATCTGGCCAGCACTTAATCCCTCACAGATAATGCATGACTCACAACCCAGTGGATAAACCTGTACAAAGTTATTAGGTTCCACTGTTGCACGTCTAAGAGTTTAATATTGATTTTATTTCTTCTTTGTTTTTCACCTAGATTGTTGTGTATCCTTCGAATTCGCTTGTTTATTGCTAAAGTTTTCAAGCTAGTTTTAGCCGATGTCAGGTAGTAGACTTTGTCGCATAACGAAACTGTTGAGCTATGACTTGTTGGCTTAGACACTTAACTTTTAACCAGTGGGTTGTAAGTTTGAAGTCATACTGTACCTGTAGATGTTCATTTCGTCAGGTAGTATTCCGATGCTTGTAATAGAGTACACAAATATATATTGAGCTGTTTTATGTATCTCATTTTGATAAAAAATTTGATCATTGTCTTTCTGATCGTGAAATCTTTAGATGGGAGGATTTCTTCATTATATTGTTCCCCTAAATAAGAAATATTTTGAATTCACAATACGAATTCAACTTTTTGAGCAACTCTTCTAACAACGGTAATTAGACTGAGGTTGAAAAGTATGTCTTTAAAGCATCAAGCTTAGATAATAATTATCAGCGCCTAGATCTAGACTATGTGACATTTGTTGCTCTTTAGCTACCAGTGATTTTATCTAATGTAGTCCTCCAAGAGACCAGCCATGACCTGTTGCACTGGATGGTAGGGGTTCCAATCTCTGAGTGGATATCAATTTCCTTAAGATTTCTTATGCGCCCTGTTGATGAGTGCCAAGCATGAAAACTACATCTAGAATTCCCCATAGATCACTTCCTACTGATCATAAAAAATCGAAATAGGTAGAGAAATAGTTTTAATATCTCTACAGTTACTGTATTATTGACTCATGCAAACATGTGAAATCTGTAATAATGTGTCCCTCACTTACTGAATACACTACCTGATTTCTGTAGCAACATTTTGCCATTATTTCAGGTCACAACGTTTTAAAACTCATGATTCATCTGGACAAAGAATAGCTTTTTTCTCGGAAGATAATGCAGATCAAGGAGTCTCTGATATGATTCGTGATGAACGTTTACGTTCAGCTGGTGACATGGATATTGAATTTTCAAAACTTGCTGGAAAAGTAAGTAATATTTGTAAAGTAATTGATGCTAATTCTAACTTTTACATGTTTAGGGATGGCTTTACTTGCTAAATAATCTTTTTTGTACACAGACACGTGGCGATGACCCTCAGATTTGCTAACATGGTGTTTCTATGTGATTCGTGCGGTCCTACGAAGGTAGTGACATTCTAATGAACAATCCCCCATTCTCCTTATTTTGAAATGACTGGATGTTATACTTCTAAAATATGAATTCTGGCACTGACACTTTTCAGTTTGATGAATATCGTGATGGTGTCAAGAGAGTAGCGATTCGATATATACCTACCTAACGTTTGCTACATATTGGAATACTTCATATGTCACACGTCAATCGATTCCCTAGAAACTTTCCAGCTGTTTGAATTTCTCGACTACTTCCTCACTAGCAAAGGCTTTTGGATGTACAGGTTCCTGCCAGGACTACAAAAGTGCTCAGGGTTTTGATGCTGTAAACTCTTTAGTATTATAGTATTACATATAGCACAGTAATTTCAAGTAAGAAATCCAATTTTGGGGCAATTTTACTTTGTATAGGAGAGCAACTTCAAACGACCTACTCTCCTTTCATTGCTATCTTGTCATTATTGAAGGGAAGGTGGACACTAAAAGCAATATTGCTAAATATTATAGAGGTCTTAAAACAATCTTGAAGTCCTCTGTATATTAGGGTGAAATATTACAAATCCAGATTTCTTAGAAGGCCGTATGTGATGAGCTTAAGGGAAGTGCTCTGTCAGCTGCACTGGCAAGAAACGTTTTATCATTTCAAGCACTTCAAAATGTGGTTGAGGATTGTTGCTGCTTCTGGAACACTTGTTTGGACAGTAGTCACACTTTGGTTTGAACTTGCCTAGATCTACGCATGCGTTGTAGAACTAAAGCAAAATGCCATTCTGAGCGCAGATCAATGATAATAATACCAAGACTGCTTTCAACGAAGAACTCTCTAGACAGTTGTTGGTAAAGGGCAAAGTCATTCATCCTGAAGAAGCCCGGCACCATCTCCAGTCTGCTGTATAAACAGCGTTAAAGACCGTAACTGACTCTCAGAAGTAGGTTAGAAAGGGTCATTGGATTTCAACAACTTCGTCTGAGTTAGTGGATTCGCGTAAATTGATTCATACAGCCCCAAGCATAAGGAGGAGGGGATTCAACCCACATGTAAACTGAAGAACAGTTTACACAATGACAGTAAAAAATGGCTTACAATGAAGTCTTAAAAGGTAGGAAAGGTCGTGGCAATAGGTAAAAACAGACATTTATGAAGTCTGGTCGAGGAAACTGGGTAAAAAAAAACTCAGCGTTTAATGAGACTTTAGCAGAGAAATATGCTTTTTCTATACACTCAGAGTAGAGACGACTGGAACAATTGGTATTGCACGCTAACGAACGGTCGAACTGGATTCCGGTTACCATTCCTTTTCTCGCTATCCAGTTCGACCCTACATAGAACGTAGAGACAGCCTCCTAAATCCTGCAGAAGTTTGGAATGCTGTAGATAGTGTGGAACACGAGAGAATCAGATGGGCTAGTAACAAAGGTATTTCAGGATGGTGGTCGTGAATTATTGGTCAGGTTAACTGGAGTGTTAACTAGCATGTGGGAATCAGTTATGATCCCTGTTGACTGGTTTTAATCACTGATTGTCCCAGAAAAGAGAGAAAATCCTCATGTGACAGCTACAGAGGAATCAATTTGATGAATATAAGGTCTAAGATTCTAGGTTCTATTATCATTAGGTACCTAATTGAACCTCGGGATTAGCGAATCCACACCTGGTTGTGGATATATCGATCGGATACTCTGCTAGATTCTGGAACACAGGCATACTTACCACCTCCTGAAATTGGCTAGATTTCCTGATTTAAAGGCGGAATTTGAATCCGTCGATCAAGAGGTTTTATTGGCATTGCGTGTCAGCGAAAGGAGTGCCGAGTAACTACATCGCTTTGTTAAAAGCTACATACTCGAATACTCTGTATGTTATGGCCCTGCATCAGGTATCACGTGTGGTATGCACTCTCCTCATTCTTATTCAACTTTATCACAGACGTACTTGTGGAGGTCTCCCTCCTGTTGTCTGGATTTACAGGGATTAATCTTGTCACAGCAGAATTTTTGGTAGATCTAGAGTATACAAAAGTTCCGCATGGAGTTTTATGTAGAAGAAACTGTGTAACTTGTCTGGGACTGAACTTTAATCCATTGGTGTGACTAAAACATGCATGTTGGTGATGCCCATCCATATCGGTTTTGGTAAAGTTTAAATACAAGAGCCTTCATGATTATCAGACAGAAACATTCTTTTTTAATAATTTCTTCAGGTCCAATAACTATATGTTTATATTGTATAATTTCGTATCAACAACAGTGAGATTTCTGTTAATAATATTATACAGTTGTGGAATTCTCTTCAGAAAAGTCTTGTGTGGACGATGATGTCGGAATCAGTTATTGCTGGAATTCAATTCCATATAACAAATTGCATAAACAGTCATACGGTTCGTGTAACACTATGAGATGAAAATGAATCATATTCATTTTCCCTTCTACTTGTGATACGCTGTACTCGTATAGTGTTCATCGTCCAAGTGAATATGATTCATTTTCATCTCATAGTGTTACACGAACCGTATGATTGTTTATGCAATTTGTTATATGGAGTTGAATTCCAGCAATAACTGATTCTGACATTATCGTTCATACAAGACTTTTCTGAAGAGAATTCCCCAACTGTATAATATTATTAACAATCTGTTAACAGAAAGCTCACTATTGTTAATACGAAATTACACAATATAAACATGTAGTTGTTGGAACTGGAGAAGTTGTTGAAAAAGAATATTCTTCGTCTCTTCAAATATCTTTCAAATTATAATTGAAGCTTTTAGGCAGCTAAAACATTTTGCGGTAATCTATGATTTCTCTGATTGTTGGTCAAAACCGTGTGAATGACTATAGACTTACTTATTAGTAGTGTGTATAACATCAGGAGCCAGGTTCAAAAGACTACAGAGAACTGAGTAAAATGGAGACGTGCAACTCAAGCCTTATGTTCCACTAGGAACCCAAGGGACAAATAATAATAATAATAATAATAATAATAATAATAATAATAATAAATAACATCAGGTATTAGATGGGGACTGGCATTTATTATGCACATAATTATTGCAATCTTTTTCATTTGGTTTTTTGATCTCTCCACTGTTGCCATAGCATCCATATAGTTGTATGGAGTAAGTAAAGCTCTCTGAAATTAATTCTTTGTTTAAACTTAGATGTCTCAAATTGTGAGACTTCATTCGTCCGTAAATATTAGTCACTGAACCGTATCATTCCATGTTACTAAAATATGTTAATTATTTTCCTCTATGTTTAAGTCTTTCAGATCATACCTATGTGAAGAGAGGTGTAAGAAATATAGTGGATTCCCCACATATTCTGGAAAATTTGTTGTTCTTGCTTAGCTTAGATTGATACTTTGTATATTATAAACTTCACGTTTATTAGCAGTGTTTGTCTGCCAGTATGATGTAAACATTTACTTGAGGTCTGCGGGGCAACTGAAATTGATGTTTGGATGCTAGGTGATCCGGCTTAAAATCGATCACAATAATGTAGGTGAATTCACCCATTATCTTCATCCTAGTTGTTATCACATTCCGTCATTTCACTCTCTCTTCCGTTTGGTATTTTATGACTTTTGTTTGCATTTTCCTCCCTATTTCTTTGTCGTTTATCTTGTCTTGTATATCAGTGTGCTGATGTGAGGGATGACAAGTTGGATTGTTACACAGTCGTGTTCCATCCCATGTTGACTAAAAAAAAACTACATATTCATTCATTGTATTTTTTCGAATTCGATTTCAGCACGTAGAAGATGAATATGGAGATGCTTTTGTTAAAAAACGCGTGCATGCCGAAAAAGAGGCAATGAAATGCAAACAAGACGCTGTATCATGTAGGTTTTCAAAATTGGCTCGAAATATTGTGTTGGTTTTCTTCCTAAAACGCTCTCTTCAACGATTTTCCATTGGAAAATTTATTTGCCTTTTATAAAATACTGCATTACTTCTCTTTATTAAAAAAGCGTTGTTCATATGCTTTGATAACATCTTGTGATGAATTACTTTTGCTTTCTTATTCCGGGTGCCTTTGTTTCCTTATTAGTCGATAACAATAAAGTAAATAATGACTTGGTGTTATCATCTATCATGGGTGTTCGTAATGAAGCAGTCATATACTTACAGTTCAAGAATTTTATGTTCATATGGAGTGGTTCTTTGAGTTGAGGTTGTTAATGTCAGAGCTTCCAGTGTAGGATATTAGTCATCGCCCTCAGTAGAACTTCATAAAAATTTTTTTCTCACCCTTACAGTATGCACCACAATATATTTGCGTGAGCTGATATCGTCACCATATTATCTAATGAAACTTGGACCAAACAAACAAATAACAGTACAATACAGTATATATGTATGTATAAAAACAACTGTAATTGCATCATCATCAAAATCAACATAGGACTGAGCGTTACTGCGTAACGGTCCAAGTTGCCACACCTCATATAAGCACATCAACTAACAAGGCAATAAAATCAAAGATGAAGGAAGAATGAGAAGATAATGGAATTAATTATAGCGGTTAAGATGAGGATAATGTGTGCATGCATCTGCGCCACTGATATCGGTTCTGAGCTATATCACTTAAAGTCTTCAACCACTTTTCTCTTGTTCTGTAGACCCCAACTATCTAGTCTGCATAGCCCTACATGGCCCAAACGAACAGTCAAGGACTTCATGCATTAATGCCGTGTTTTAGTCTGGCCATCCCAAGCCTTTTTCCAGCTTGAACCTACTTCGGCCAACATTGTGAGACGAGGCAAACGGTAGCTAGGCATACTTAACATATATCCCACCCATCTCATTTGATGAAGGTTCACTACCGTATAAACTGTCTTACCTCTCTTCTTTAAAACTCTACACCTGACTTTTGCATTACTCATGTGGTGACACCGCGAAACACAGCCTATGCTACGAAGGCAGTGATGGTCAAACATGTGAGGCCTTCTCATGTATTCTACCTTTATTGGCCATGTTTCACAGCCCTACAGTAGGACGGAGCGGACTGCAGCACATTACAGCCTACTCTTAATAGACAATTGGGTATCGCGGCGGCATCACAGATGACTTAAGCTGGCAAAAGCCAACCAAGCCTTTGGCATCCGTGCAGAGATTTTGTCGGCCACTGACTCACCAGGGTTGATCCGACTTTTCAGGTGAGTGAAGTGTTCAGCGCGCTCAACCACTGCACTCTCTACTGTTAGTCGGGGTACCGTCGAAGACTAATCCTGGGGCAACAATTTATGTTTGGGTGACGAGAAACACATCCCGAACATTCTCATATTGCAACTCAAGGTGTCCAGAAGACCACACGATTTCACTGTAATTGCATGCGAAGATGATGGTGAACGGCGACTTATGTCATTTACATTCATTATTACTGATCTGCCTACTAAAGCGATCTACCTCCGATCAGAAACCTATTAATAATTGATAGGTTAGCATTAAATCAGCACGAAATATTTGACGAGTGAATGACAATTTTTTCCTGCCTATAGAAAGATAAATTGTGTGGTAATCTAGAAGCTAATAGATAGTGTCTGTAAGCATGAACCTGTATAAAGTCAAGGATTGAATAATTCTTTCCAAGACAAACTGTCGATTTGAATGTGTAGTTAAGCGTTAGCAATTAACAGGTTCAGATAAAAAAAGGTAAAGTTACTTTTTAGTAAAGTGGATAGAAATTGCATAATTCAAAAGTGAAATACCTCAAAGAAAAAAAACAAACATTTAGCTTTTATCTATAATCTAGTCTTGAAATCATGTACGTCCAAAATCTGTAGTGTGCATAAGTGGCAAAACTGCATTTGTTTTGATATGTCAAGCCTAAATACTGAATAATTGGGTGGTTGTTCAACTTGAATTCTCTTCTAGATGACTATGAATAATCCTTATTTGAAAATATAAGCTTCATAGACGCAGGTAAGTGATAGGCATAAGTGGAGTTAACCGAAACAAAAGACATGGCATGGATACATTTTTTTTACCAGGTTTTACTTCCTACCGTTATGTGTAACCAAAACACCTATATTATAGAGTTCAGTTCTAGTCCCCAATAGTACTCTTTCTTTATCAATACTTTCGCACAACTTTTTATTTGGTTTTGATCTGATAATGAGCTCTGCACTCGATCATTTCTTAGTAACTTTTCTTTTGATGTTTCTAGTATCGTTTTCCATTTAATAACCTTTCCTTATTTTAGTTTGGTATACCTAATTTTCATTGAATTTTCTACTGTTTTTCTGTTACTGTTCACCTATGTATGATTGTTTATCTTTTCAAGTTAGCGCAGGAAATTTAAAGCTTAAGATGAAAATGTTCGGCGTTCTCCGAGCTTCAGGATTTATTCTTGGACGTTTCACCATCATTTTAGGTGACTTTATCAGAATTTACTGCACAAAGAAGTGAAGCATCTTCAAGTTGTATAGACGTTTATTAAGGATATATTTGCCTTCCTTGAGCGTTGTTAGTTTGGGAGTAGAGGTTAGCTGATTGTTGGGTTTATTTCTAGTTGGTTCATATAATTGAGTCAGTGTCCACACGTCTGTTGATTGACATTTGATTGGGATTCTTTTGGAGTTTTTGAGCTCGCTTGTTGTAGTATTTCCACGTCATCCCAGTCTAAGTTATGGTTTTTTTTCCATCTACATGCATCTATATCAATGATAACACATCATGTTTTTTGACTGAAAGTTGATGCTTATAAATTCTTTGACCTATTTGATAATCGGAATTACCAGCATAATGATGTTGTTAGTTCTTGCAACTAGTGTTGTTGACTCTATTCTTCTAATCTTCTCTGAGTAGTGGATGCTTTAGCTTAAATAAGACTTTCTGCAGACATTTAGTTGGTTCGTACGCCTCATTGATGCAGGGGGATGAAGTAATCGGTTCGATAGTTTCTGAGATATCTTCGATTTTTGGTAAATTGATTCATTTCCTAAGTCGAGGTAATCACCCTGATTTATTTTCTTTTGATTGGCTTTTCTTCATGAGGTTGACTGGTTATTCATTGGTTTTGAACACTGTAAAGTTCGTTTTCTTCTGACTTCCGCAGTTGTTGAGTGCTGCGATGATTCTTGGCCTAAGCGAATAGTGCTTGTACACAACTCTTGTAAGATATTGGGTTGTTAGAGTTGTAGTTCAAAACATGATGTATGTGTCACCTTGCTGTACATTTGAGTCTGTAAGATCCGATCATGTATTCTACTTATGAGAATGTCTAGAAATACAATTTCCTTATTTGTTTTCTTCTTTTGTAAACTTAGTAACTTGAATTATTCGGTCTATGAGAATGAACATGTTTTTCAATTCACTTACTTTGATAATTATAAAAGTGTCGTTTATTTGACGTATTGTCAGTTTGATTATTGGAATAACTATTGATTCTTATCTCTGCATCACTGCTTCACCAATCGGTCCGGATATTAGTGAGCCCATAACAGTTCCTTTGGTTTGTTGATAGAACTTCCTTTTTAGCTAAAAGTACTTCGTGAGATATAGTTTGATTAGTTTTATAAAGTTTGCAGCAGTGATTCTCGTATAATTCTGAAGATTCTGGTCATTGTTCAGTGGCGTACTGATTGTTTCTTTGGCGAGATCTAGGTTTGTTGACGTGAAAACTACAGTTGCGTAGAAGGACATCAGTTTTCATCGTCGATCTTTTCCTTGTGCTGCAGTGAAACGTCCTATTTTCCGAACATTTCCTCACCTTTTAGAAAAGATTTCTTTTTTCACTCATGAGTACTACCTTAAGTTCAAATTCACTGGATAATTCTAAGAATAACCTCTGGTTGATTTAGCTAGGATGAAGTGGGTGCCATGTTCTTATTTTTAAAATTTGTATGTGTATAAATTCAGTTCCCTTTATCTGAATATAACACATTATAACTATTTATTTTACTCTGAATATCATGAAGTGGTACCAGTATAGCCTGTTCTTTTTCTAAACCATCTAGTTTTGTGTAAATTCATTGAAGGTTTTACTCTCTCTCTGTATATATATATATATATATATATATATATATATATATATATATATATATATATATATATATATATATATATATATATATATATATTACTACAACCAAGGATAGATGAACTGTGGATGAATGTCTCTATGTTTTAGCGGTGAACCGGTTACTTTTGTTACCCTAAGAGAGTAGAAATAATTTAATGCACTCCAATGCAATTTATGATCATGTATTGTAATGAAAAACTATCTTCATGTAGTTTTACAAAGAATGTTTAGTGTAGCTATAGTTTATTTGTAGGTCAGTCTGGGAAATAAAATTGGTATTATATGAACCATTGTTTTTGGCTTTGTTTAGGTCTACTTCTTCTGCTCATACAAATTTCAGTAGACCCTAATTCCTGACTTACTATCCAAGACAATACTGGTGTAATTTATGAAGTGACCTGTTGTAATTCAATAAGATTGTTCAAACGCATTAAAAAAATCTTCAACATATAAAACAAATCAAACTGTATTACGATCAAGTAAAACCGAATCGACATATCAGAGGTTTCTACTGCTTCTGAAGTTATTTTGAATTCAAATTTCGATTTCAGTTAGATAGTCATCAACATTTAGGTACTGTGCAACAGTAGTGGACATTGATGAGAGCATTCATAGGTATCATGAAGTGATTAGGGATGAAAGTGATCTTCATTAAAATTCTCTCTCTCTCTCTTTTGAATTTGTTCGGTTAAAACACATTTCCATGAATCAGATGTCCTTGGTTTGTTGAATAGAACTGTCATATTGTGTACAGTTGATGAGCTGAAAAGTAATTCGAAATGTTTTCTTAATTATCAATGGTTTTTTGAATGAGTAATTATTCATATATAATTTATATCCTTTTATGAGAACTATACACTTATAACTCGCATGTAGTCAGATTAAAAATAGGAATCTAAAAATTATGTGATTAGTAAAGAGTAAATTATTTTCTTCTAGTGCATAAAATTTTAGTATCGTTATTGCTTTTAGTTATCTTTTTGCTTTCTTCTGAACTCTTTGCAGCCTATAAAAGAAGAGTGTTTGCTGAGTCAAAATGTTCTACTTGTCTGGAACGTGTACCCAAATACCTAGTTGTCAGTCTTGGAGAGAAGGTATTTCTTTCTTTCTTTTTTATTAACTTAGATGTTGATTAATTTGTTCATATTTCATTCTGTAGTAATTATCACTTAGTAGTGTAATTATTTTCATGAAAAAGTTAATTAATCTGTATAGTTTTTACGCAAAGCATTTCACCTTTATGTCTATAATTCACTTGACTCAAGGGTTAATTATGTGAACAGTGTTTAGATAAGAATGCTTACACAATTACTAGTGATTAAATTACAATAATTAGTGTGCTGAAACTAGGTGAAATGAATATCTGTTAGATCAAATCATTTGCGTTATTCTAGTGTGTATTACTACAAAGGGAACTGAATAGTCTTTATGACAGCAACTGTGACTACTGAAATCAGTAAGCACAGTCAAATGTAGATTTCCTAAAATAGCCATAAAAAGTACGTATTGCCACAAGAAATAAGTTGAAGAGGGGAAAGAATAAGCCGTTTAACAAAATGAAAGCTAATGCTTACACAAGTACTATTTTTACTCCTTGTATGTATCACGTTAAGTTGTTAGCTTTAGGATTGAACTAATAAGATTTCCCCACTAACTCATCTTTATTCAGCTCTATCAAATTGCAGGTATCTTCTTTACTGGTGGAATAGAAACGTGATCATATTTACAAAAATGAAGTTTTGTAAGCAGCAATAAGTAATGCGTATCTTCAAGTATATGCCGTTTGTTGGAGGATTATTAGGTCTATTAAAAAACCGTCTCACTCGATCATCTGATAAACTCAGACATCAAATATTGTTTCTGAGGTTTAATTACTACTAAACGTAATTCATTCTGTAGTGGCAATGCAGCCACTCAGTACCGGTAAAAAAATGTAGTTTGTAGCTGACTGTAATCATTGCGTTGCATACACCAATTCAGGAAACCCACTTCATACTGGAGATTTTTGTAGTTGGTTATCTATGTGATATTGTGTTCCTTTACTCTCTGTATGCGCTAACACTCATTTACAGACAGATATTGGAACACTTGCTCGTGTCCACCCCAGGTGAAATATTAGGCCGCATCACCCTGAAGAGACTAAAAAATTCGCTAGGTTCAAAATTACGACCGAAACAGGCTGGCTGGCTTCAGGAAGAACAAATCATGTGCGGATCAAATTGAAACGCTACGCATCATCATAGAACACATTGTAGAATGGTAGTCAACTTTCTACCTCAACTTCATCGATGTTGAAAACGCTTTCGACAGCGTTGACCGAGAAGCAATTTGGAAACTGCTTCAACACTACAAAGTACCACAAAACTTTACCACCCTCATTCAACAGCTATATGATGACGCGACATGCCGAGTGATTCACAACGGAAAGCTCAGTAATGCCTTTGAAGTCAAGTGAAGACAGGAGCAAGACAAGGTTGCCGCCTACTATGATTTGTGATCTTTCTGATTGTGGTGGACCAGATCACACAGCAAACCCTGAGGAGCAAGAAGATGGGCATATGCTGTTTGACCAATGAAAAGACCCTAGAAGATTTGGATTTCGCCAACGATGATTTATGTTTGATGTCTTGTGGCACAAACTGGAAGATCTACAGGCGAAAACTGCCAAGTTGACAGAAGAGGCCGGGCAGCGAAGACTTGACTTCTTTCAGGTGAATGTAGAGAAGACGGAGGTGATGAAGGTACCAAGAACCACAACAACAACTACAAGCACCAGTCACCATCAACGCGAGAAACCTAAAGGAAGTAGTCTCTTTCATCAGTCTAGGCAGCACCGTTTCAACTACTGGCGGCACAAGCACAGATGAGGACTTCAAAGTCAGGATTAGAAAAGCAAGATAGGCGTTCGTTAATCTGAAATCAGTGTGGAGATCTACTGCACTGCTCTCTATTAAACATGAAGCGTGAACGGAATCTGGATTTTCAATACTAATGTCAGTGAAGTCAGTGCTTCAATGTGATGGTTGAGGGACTTGGTGGCACGTTACGGAAAGCATTTCGAACAAACTACAGACATCAATCAACAGGTGTGACCTACGCTTCATCGATATTGAAGATCATATTAGAAGGCCAGAAAGAATAAGCAACACGGAACTGTGTCTGGGTGGCTGGCAACGAACCAACCAAGAAGCTGTCACCCAACTAACATGTAGAAGAAAATGGAGATGGATTGGATTGGGTGTACACTGAGAAGACGGTTTTGGGACATCACGCGCTAGACTATGCTAGGCCGTTGATTGGAACCCATATGGGAACCGACGAGTTGTGCGTCTGAGACGAGTGTGACATGTAAGAGATTATATGAGGAAGAAATGAAAGGTTGTGGGCAGTGGTGGAGCTAAGTTGAAAAGACTGCATAGAAGAGAGTGAAATGGAGACGTGCAACTGAAGCCCTATATTCCACTAGGAACCCAAGAGTCAAATAATAAATAAATAAAGTTGGAATACTTAGAATTATGTATAATAAAATCCATTAAATGCACTGAGTTATCTAATGGATCTTTTTCGTTAAGTGATGTTGTTATCTTTTACAGTAATAGATCTTTTTTACCGAAATTAAAGGAAGAATAAGTAAGAAAACTGAAGAAGCACATCTTTGTGGTTTTAATACATGTTAGAATATTGTTATTTTATTGAAAACATAAACTTGGTACAACGTGGACATCAAAGGATGCTGCTCACAAAATAGTATAGCCAGTTTAGTCAGATAAGAAAGTTATGTAAAAAAGAAAAAGAAAGACATGGGGGTTAAAACAGAAATTCGTTGGTGTAGAAGCAATCCCAAGAATATGTTCAAGAAAGAATTCATTTTTGTTTTACTTCTGAGTAATAGAAGTAACAAGAAAGCTGCATCATGATCACTATCGGTGTTTCCATTCTGAATCATATCTTGTCATTTCTGAAGCTACTGATAAGCATCACTTTGCAAACCCTGATCAAAGAGTCATGAGACACTAATGGGTGCTGATCCAACAAAACTATCCTTCATCCTATGGTTATTGAGGGCTAACATACAGTGAATAGTATGGAAGACTCTGAAGTGACATTCATATGTTGTCGCACTGTAAAGCCATATCATCCGTGTATTCAAAGTGGAAAAGTCTTTCTCTTATCAATAGATCTACACCATCGCCACTCACCTGCTCCAGAACTGTCTCTATACTGTTATCAATCACAAATATAAAGATTTGTAGCGAAATTAAGCGACAATGCTTAATCCCACCGCTGTTTTTGATCACTGAAAAGAAGCAGTTGTCTGTCATCACCCTCCCTAAGATGTTAAGTATATGCTTTCTAAATGTTAAAAACATTTTTCTGCGACATCCTCCTCCATAAGAAACAATTTTTAGAGCACAACCCTCTTCAACAAAGTGAAGGTGGTTATGATATCAAGAAACACAACGCAGTAAGCAGTACTTTTGACCATTTTCGAGCATCTTATGAAGATCTAACTCATGATCAGTGCATTTACAACAAGAAAGAAAGCCGACCTGCTCTTGCCGATGTTTTTTTCCAAGCGTTTTCCTAAGCCTGAAAAGTATAATGGCAGCCAATATTTAAGATGCTACTGGATAGTAAACTGATTTGCCGATAATTACCACACAAACAAACAGATTCTGCAAGTTTACGAAAATCAAATGATCATTATCGTCAAAATAAAATGGTTGGTTTCATGTATTGTCGATTGGTCGATAAGCAAAGTTGTAGGTGGCTACATAGCTCATTGGCTTAAGCCTTTATACGTCCACCAATATATCGTGGATTCGAACATAGCTTCATCTTTTGAAGTCTGGATAACCGTGTATTATCGTAAGCGCTTACATTTTGAGTGTAACTCATAACTTATTAAAGAAATGCCTGTATTGGATTAGGTTAGATCATTTTACGGCACATTTCTTGGTGTGCAAGTTGTACCAAGTTAGTATTTTATTGTATATATATATAATGATGTTCATAAATGATTATTCTATTCTTCTTTGTCTGTTTAATCATTGTTGTAGGTGTTTTTATCTTTACCTTCACATATAAGTATGGTACCTGGTTATTGTTTGCTCACCCCATATGAGCATACTGGATCAATTACTCGATTGGATGAAGATGCTATAAAAGAGATTCGAAATTTCAAATGTCAGCTGACCGCTATGTTTGATAAGCATTACAATGAGTCAGGTTGTGTTTTCATTGAAACGGCTATGAAATCTGATGTAATTCGGTATCATACACAAGTGGAATGCATTCCTGTTCCAAGGCATCTTTATACTTCATTACCTGCTTACTTTAAGGTAATATATAGATTTATTTACGTATGTATTAATTTTTAGTTTAAAAAAACTAGACCGTAGGGAAAATATTTTTGAACCTGAGGATAAAATTGAAGTTGAATTAAAATTCGTTCCACTGTTAAATTTCAAAGCTTTGCTGATAAACCATCGAACGGGGATGCTCATAGTATCTAGTTATTGTTACGAAATAACCTCGGTTTTCCTTCCACTTCAATTATCCAATGTCTCACAATTGTTATCGTCATCATTGTTCATTGTGTTTCATTCTTGTCGATTTGACTTCATACTGATACACTTGACTGTATAATGAATTTGATCACAAAATAATAAGGGTATACAGTATAGTTCTTCTAAACCCATTCTAATTCATCATAACTGTTAACAAGTATAAATAATTATTTGAAATATACAAATATTACTTCTAGGAAATGCTTATCTAACTGAAAACTGTTTCTTTAATGTGCTGGGTACTGAAATATTTTGTCAGATCTAATTAGCAGTCTGCTACATCACTTGTAGGAATGTTTAACCTTAGTGTATAGTGCATGGATGCATTAGTACAGCGAACAACATAGATATGATATTCGCTGTGATATGCTTATGACAATGAAAAGTTGGAGAACTAAAGTTATTGCTTCTTGAATTTTTCAGTGGAATGTGTTCTCATACTTGTCGGTTAGAAAGGTATAAGGTGAATGATATCGCTCAGACTTGTTTTAAGGCAAATTATACCTAAATAAAAGCTGTAAATTGCACAAAATAATACACCTTTATCAATTAACCGAAGCAACTACAGATCTTGTTACAGTGATCACCTAGTCAGTAATTTCCAAAACTTATTTTCTAATTGTTCAGTTTCACATGGTAGAAAATCAGTTCGGGAATCGATTGATCAACTAGGTGAAAAGTGATAAATCAGCTGATAAATGATGAATTCTTCCCGATGTGGGTGAACCACCTCCAGTTGAGTAGATCAGTAATTTGTTGTGTCGGAATGTTGACTAACTAGTTGTGGGATCACTTTCCAAACTGTATTAACCAAACTTCTGTCTAATAGTGACAAATAGTTGTTCACAGCCGCTAGCGCGTCAATACTGAAAGAAGATCATGTTAGTAGTCATTGCAACATTATTCTATAAAAAGAAGGCAGCATAAGTAACCATTCAGAAATAAACGAAACCGATAATTTATAAGCTATTCAAAATAATGAATGCCATTGCCTTAAGAAGATGAATTTCAGATTAGCGTTAAATGACTAGCGAAAATTGTCACATTTATCCTAACAGGAATGTCGCCTAAGAGGTAAGTAAATGGTAGCTCTCACTTCTTTACGCCGCCACAGCCAACAAAGCCAAAAAGTATGATTTTGTAAATAGAGAAGATGAAATGAAAGCATAACATAATTTTTGTCTACATATACTCGCAATATAATTGTGATAAGAAAAATAAATAGTATATTTAACGTTCCACTGAAGTTAGTCAAAAAGTGTGGCCTGTTGCCTACTGCACGAATGTGCGCAAGAGTGCTAAGTGAGTTTTCATCCTATATACTATGTACGCTGAGTCACTCCACTTCAGTATAAGGTGCAAGATAGTCAGCTCAGTGTATGACGGTTAACCCGGACAAACACAACGTGTAGTCTCATAGAAGCTAGTACACACATATTTGAGCAGTAAAAATTTTATTATTTAATTTATGAAATCCTGTCTATCCTAAATAAAAACGATTAACCATGCAACTTCATCAGAAGATATCTATCCCATTCATCATCAGCTACGAAGTCATTCATGGAAATCAACAAATAGATCATCCTACCGTACATAAAAAACATATCAGAGACCGCGACAAGATTACTGAGACCACTTGGAATTAGTGTGGCGGATAATTTAACAAATTCCGTTTAGACCTTATCATGCTGACCAAAGGGAGACAACTGTAATCAGTACTGGACAAGACCCCAATTGGCAATGGTGACATCAAAATTCTAATGGGAGCGGACAACACAGTAAGAGAACCAATCATGGGTCGAGAAGCACTCCGTGAAATGAACGAGAATGAAGAACTGCTGGCAGACTTCTGCGCATTCAACGATTTGGTGATTGGAGACAGTATATACAAGCACAAGGATATTCATTAAGCGATATGGAGTTGATTTCACCTGATGGACACACTAAATAATAATTATAATACTGACCAAAGTAGATTACTGTCACAGAAGATGAATCAAATAATAAACTGCAACAACTGTTGTGGCTATTACATCGAATAAAGTGGTCGCCGTCCTCGCCCTCTTTTACTTGAACTTCAGTTGACCACTAAACATCACTACATTTCGTCGCTCATTCCTATGTGGTTAACTATAGGCATTAATTCAACTGTGAAATTGTAGTGATGTTGGCCAGTGGAAATACAAATAATATCAGTAAGTCCGTCGAAGCTCAGCACTCAGGTGAGTCTCCAATCACTAGATGTATAGACATGGACCCGATCTATCAACCAGTCAGAAAAATGATTGTCGATTGCAGTGATACAAATATACTGAATCTGTATGATCCTAATTCTTAAACATTTAACTGCTTCATTTGCTTCATATATTCTTCATCTTCTCATACCATCCTTTATGTTCATTGAAATATATTTGTTATATTCATTTTCGATACTGTTCGTAACGAAATGTAGTACTTTAAAAACTGATTTACTGTTTCAGTCAGTCATTATTTTATCTCTTGATTATTATCATTTAATATGTCATTGATATCCGAATATTACACTTTTGCATTTGTAGAAGGCCCTAAGTGAAATTGGCTCAGAATGGGATCAAAATCGTCGTCTGATAACACTAAAACCAGGTGGAACTGGAGCATATGGTGCAATTCCTCCGAAATTCGCTTATTTGGCTGTGGAATTTGGTACTACTAATGGGGGTTTCGCTCGAATCCTGGATGAAGAACATGAGATATCTTCATATACTGGTCGGGTAAGCATTTCGATAAAAACGTTTATCGCTTTCTTTTTCGAATCATTACTAACTTAACAAGGTAATAGACAAGTTCCTGTTGTCTTAATAAAGTGCTCAAAAATACCATCACAATCCAGGTTAAAAACACTCAGGCAGATTTTAGTTATATTTAGTAGAGGTTACGTAATATATCTATAAATTGCCTTTGTTTCTACTTAAAATTCGTTGCCTAACTGTACACAAATACTTGTTAGTGCTGGGATTCGAAAACTATCATTTAAAATCCAGTATGTTATCTGTTATATGACTGAGTTCAGCTGGTGAAGTGATTATCGGACAACACTTATTTTGCAGCAAACGATGATTGCCGAAATAGTGTACGACAAAACACACTAACCTGTTTGATGTATTGAATTAGGTGAAGTTCGAAACCACTTCCATGTTATTGGTGTAGGCATTCAGATTTCAACTAAAGGCCATGGATTTGAACCTCACTCCAATTACGGAAGCCTGCCCAGCCGGGTAGTATCGACAGATATCACAAAATAGGTTTTGCTCACTACCTAGTGAACCAATATGTGAGGTCGTACTGCTGGCTGGATAGGAATGTGACAGCAATAATACGTTTCCTGTGGATGACCAGTAGTGCCACTCTGATACTGCCTTACCTATGGGGAAGGGGAAGGGTCAAAAACGGTCAATCCCAAGAATACCACATTCCCTTTCGCCTTTCAGCATACCGATACCAGCTACCTGGGTTTATATTCGGACTCAAACCTTACAAACTTTAATCTCAAACTTCCAAAAGGGCTTTATGTGACCAGCCTCCAGCAAATTTCACGTGGGCTCTGCGGTCATGCATTAACCCTTCTTTTTCAGTTAACTGTAGAAGAACCACCAGCCTTCCATGATGTGGGCAGCTGGGACGTGTCATTCTCCTACACGCTTCTAGTAATATCACAAACTTATCCTGATTACCTTTCTCACCTGTTTTACCCTCACTTCCTGTCAACAATGTTCAACCTCTTGAAATCCTCTCAACCTCTCACTCTCCGTCCATTGCTGGCGATGGGAGCCAGCTAAATACCATCCTTAGTTTCCTGCTGTCGATTTCAAACTGGATCCTTCAACGTCGGAGCCCTATACCAAATCAGATATCACCTGTGGCTAGAACCCTTGAATTTCGAGCCATGGATATTTGCTGGGTTTTTGAGACATACAAAACTCAAGTGTCGTCATTAACTTGACCTCACCTGGCCAATGTAATTTTTCTACAAAATACTCGCTACAGGAGTTCAGAGATTCCGTGAAAAATCCTCGCGGATTCGATGGTGTAAGCATGGGATTCAGCTGTAGAGCAGAAAACGCACTCCTCGACTGGATATCAGTCAATAACTGTCTGTGTTCTGTCCGATTAAATGGATCTGTAGAAACTAGAGAGGATTAGGAGACTACCCATTGCATGTTCGTAATCTCTGCCTACGCACCCACCGACTTCAGTTAGAGTGATGCAAAGGATGAATTCCATCATAAGCTGTCTAGTTTGGTACAAAAAGCTGGTACTCTTTGGTTCATGGAGTTGACTTTCAATCAATGAGTTACTGACTTAAGCCGCGCTCCACCTACCTAGGTTTGGGCAGCCAGGTAGCACCATTTGCCCGCACACAACTGGTGTGACTCATTGCCTGCTGCACGAATATATACTAATTGCTGAAGGCATTTCGGTTTTGTTCAACAGAAAACAGACTGTTCAGATATATTCTTAACATTAGGTAACTTCAACGTCCTAGTAAAAGAGCTAAGCCAATTAGAAAGGCATCTTAGTAGTATCTGCAGAATTCTATGCTAGCTAACCAAAAAGGTGATCGTCTACTGAAATCTTTTCTGACAGTCGCTTGTTTCTTGCTAGCACCAACTTCATGCATAGGGAGAGATATTGTTTTACCTGGCGTCTACCGACATCATACCAACGATAGACGCAGACAGATTATATTAATATAACCCATCGCTAGAGATGGTCGGTGGGGGATTACTACTCTTCCTGGAATACTTGTTTGGACACTGGTCGTGCATAAGTACGAACACGTGTATGTCCATGACTTACTGGTCACTGAAAACAGGTGGCAGCGAAGCCTGTACATGCTTGATTAAAAGATGACAACAGCAAGTAAGTTATGGGGAGGATAGGAAAACATTTATCTAAACGTGACAGCACTGCTCATCCCGAGGAAACATGCGGTGTGTTTAAATTTGCTGTGGAGACAGTGGTGTAAGCAGTTGGTAATGTACATTCAAAGGTTTGCAAATGTCATTGGATTTCCGTAACGTCATTCGAAGTGATTGATGCTAGAAGACTGATTCTAGCTGGGTGTGACCACAGTGAAGAATGTCAGGAATCGACGAAGAGTTTGCGCAATGATCACAAGCAGTGGTGGGTGCCGAGAGCAAAAGAGGTGGAGAAGGCATGAGCACTAAGTAACAGTCGGTTATTATTTAGACCATTTAAGGATACCGACAAAAGAAGACGATGGTGAATAAAAACAACACCGAAAACGATATGTCCGTGATAGCCTTTCAGGATAGACGGTTAGAACGTTGGGAGGAATATTCTGAAGCACAATTCAACTGGCTTCCAGCAACGCTTCAGTTGCCCAACATTCAACCTGAATGTGAATAGGAAGTGGATTTCGGTCCTCCGACTCTCGTCAAATTTAAGAAGGTTGTGCAGAACCTGAAACGATGCAAAGCAACTGGAACTGATGGTTTGCCTTCAGATATTTTAAGGATGTGGGTGAGGAATTGCTGGTTAGAGTGCTGGAGACACTAGGTAGCGTATGGGAATCAGAGTTTTTGCCCCCAAACTTGTCTGCTTCATTCATCATCCTATTTTATGCAGAGGGAGACAAGTCTTCTTGTGAAAACCATAGGAAGTCAGTTTAGTTAATATCGTATCCAAGGTCTTGAACCCCCTACCTAACTGATGCTCAGCTGCAACTCTAGAACAACAAACTCTGGAGAACCGGATAGGTTTTAGACCTGGACGAGGGTGCATCAATCAGCCTTTCACTCTTCGACAGGTTCTGGAGCACCTACCAGTAACCGATAGTTGCCATATTTCTTGATCTGAAAGCGCCATTTGACTTTGTCGACTTTGTGGTGTTGTGGCAGTGTCTAAGTGTGAAGGGAGTACCGAGCAAGTATATAACGCTAATCAAGGCTCCATACTCGAAATCATGCAGTCGTGTCAGGGTTTATGGAGAGTTGTAAAATGAGTTGACAACGGTTAATGGTGTCTTTCAGGGATGCCCACTGCTACCGTTCTAATTTAATTTGTTTATAGTGGATATAACCTTCGGTGCGTCTAACTTCACAGGGATTAATCTACTCGCCAGAGAACATGTGGTTGACTTGGAGTATACAGACGATATTGTCCTTCTAGGTGAGGACGCTGACAAAATATAGGGTTTCCTAGACGCGTTAAGCAGAAATCTGTGTATGTTTGGCATACGTTTGGCACTTGTCAAGTGTAAGATGTTGCTTTAGACCTGTCTGAAACCACTCCTAGTTTAAGGATAGGGAGTGAAGTGATGGAATGCGTCGACCACTTCACTTACTTGGGGAGTTGCATCATCCCTCACGGACTAGTTGTTGACGATGTTTTATCTAGGCATTCGCCAACTTGCTTCTTCTTTAACGCCAACTGGTGAGATTTCCCACTGCCTGTTAATAGAGGAGTATACTGCTCTGCAGTCCCTTTGGTCCTGTTATGCGGCTGTGAGACATGGTCTCTGAAAGTAGATGTGGAGGAATTACAGGTTTTTGGCCACAAGTGTCTTTCTAGCATTGATCGCTTGTGGTGGAATCACTATGCCAGCAATATAGAAGTTAGGTGAAGGATGCTAAGCAAGGAAGGCAAGCCAGTTGGTGATGTTGATAATATCTTCATCGACCGAGGTGGTTTCGAAAGGTGCTGCGCATGCCGAGCCATTGCCTACCTCGGCTTGCAATGCTAGGGGAAGTTCGGTTATATTGGAAGGAAGTTCAGGCTGGCTGAACAAAGATGCGACACCAGTGTATGAAGTTTCTAACTGTTAGTCTGAGTCGTGTGGGGAGGTGTAGTCTACTTGGTTGGGGTCCTCGAGATTATATAGACCGATGGTTGGGTAACCTTGATGACATGGTCTTAAATCAGTCACAGTGGTGCAGATGTATTCACTGTTTGACGTCTTCGTGAATTAGTGAATACTAAATGTTGTGTAGTGTCAAACTGAATGAAAAAATTAAAGGCGATTCCTGTGACCCACTGAAAAAAATGAAACTGCAGTCAGATTAATTAAAACTTCCACAGACTATAGAGAAAGATCTACCTAGAATAGGAGCAACGAATTCGGTGAATGCGTTAGCGAAACTAAGTAAATTGGATAAACTGCTGTCAGGTGTGACATACATTTTCGTAATGTAAGCATGTTTGCATTTACTCAAGTGTTTAGGATGACATTTAATAGCAATGCAGTCAATTTTGTCGTTTAAGAAGCTGGAGAATACATAAATGGAAGTAGATCAGTTGGTACTGGTGAATGTGGCTATACATCTACTGTAATTCTTCTTAGAAATACATCAAAATAATTTGAACATATTTAGAAAGACTAACTTATCGTCACTGAGATCATCAGGCTATGTTCCTTGCAGTTATCACACTCGTACTACGATCAATTTTTGTGGATAAGAGTGTACTAAAAGTAGTCAACCTTTTTTGGTAAAGACCTGCAGTTTATGCTAAGTATTTCAGGAATGGTCATTTAATCTGCTTTTTTACGCTTAGGAAACCAGTTGCCATCCATCACGCTGTTTTTTCTTAATTTTACTATGAACTTGCAAAGCAGTTTATTTAAAGGATAATACAAGTGATGGCATTTAAAGCAATAAAATAATGTATTAATGATGAATTTATTACTGCATATTTCGTGAAAAAATAAGGTGCCTCAAAGTTCAAACAGGCTAACAGACACTTGTGAAGAAGTTTATAAATAACACACTAAAATATACGTGAACCAATTGGGAATGACCAAAGTTAAGAACGAAGAACATAGACTATAGGTTACTTTCTCAAAGAAAGCGGAGATTATGTTTGTTTGAGGAATAAAAGTCAGTAAATTTAGATGATGGAAAAACGAACGTGTCTTCATGATATATAACTGATTCTCTTTCACCGAACTGGCCCACATGATTCATCCTAGACAATAAAACTCTCACATCCTTGTTTTCATTAGGAAATCATAACTTATAATCCGTGTGTGTGCGCATGCCTTGTTGGTATAGCTGCACAAGTAGTTCAACAGAAGGTAATCAGTCTGATCATGTCGATTAATAACATTAATGTTACGCTCATATGGGGGAACAATCACATTCCATTCATCTTTTACTGCCATATGAATTCTGATGTGTTGGTAATAAGGCTTATAAGACTACTGATCACTTAGATTGTGCTTTGATTGGTATTATTTGTCCCCTTTAACACAAAGTAGACACAACATCAGAACTAAAAGAATAAGAAATACGTGGAGAATACTGACTGCGCTTGGTTGTTCAAAACTCTGTAGGTTGGGGGAATTCAGGGCCGTTTGTACACTGATTGATGGTCCAACACGTTGACCACATGAAGTGAATAATTAGATACCGTTCTTACTTAACTATTGTTCACTGGTTTCATTATCGATATTCTACCATCAAATTTTTGTCTTTAAATTTTGCCTGTATAAATAGGAAATTATAGCTGGTGCTTTAGATAAAGAACCCCGTCTGTGGCGAAAACCTAAACCTGAAAATTTTGACCATTTACGCGAAAAGGTAGTCGCTTTCGAATCTAGGTGGCATTCGTACGATAAATGGCGAGAGAATAATCCTAGCAACTCTTCAAATAATGTAAAAAGCAACCATGAAGAATTTCCATTGGACAATGAACCTGAAGGTCCAGTTCTACCACCGGGATATTAGTTCCTGTGACCTATATATATATATATATATATATATATATATATATATATATATATATATATATATATATATATATATATATATAAATGTATATAAAAATAAAGCACGTCTTTTGTACTCACTGACCTTGACTTTTGTCTATTTACCCCAACATTCTCTTATGTTTGGTCAACTAATCGAATGCTACGTCAGGATACTAGCTTATGATAAAACTTCTAGCCCAGCTGCCTTGAAAATAACCACTCCTGCACTTTCAGACGAACGTAAAAAAGACGTAACGACTAGTTTAAATTGATAACCTTCACTGTTTCAGCAAAAGCAAGTCAGAATATATGTATACAGAAAGTTAAACCGTATCCAAAGATTGATAACTTTGTTATCTTTGGAGGTGGAGATAATCAACCAGATAGTTACTCTTTAAACGGAAGATTCAAATATACGAGAAAGGAAATAAGCTGTCAAGTTCAGTATATGGTCTTATTAACACGATTTACAGGTTGGTCGCGTTTGGTTGGTGGTCCATTTTTCAGAAGAAAACAATCACTATAGATTTGCTTTCCCCACTGGATTTGATCAGTATTGACTTAGTACGGTGTTTTAGTCAATTATTCTTTCTCTTTGGTTTGGTTGGCACGAGGAAAACACGTTCTATGTCATTCTGATATCTGCATGTTTCAGGAAAAAATGCCTAGTGAATCGGCATACCTAATGGTTATATTAATCTACTTGTGTCATTGTTTATTTTTGTTGATTTCCATCTTTTTCTATAATACACCGGCATGGAAGCTCGGAATGATAAATGTTTGGTGTTTTGTCTTATTTTTGTGTCTGCTTTATATGAGTATCATTTGTGTAGTGGTCTTGGCAAACTTGAGTGGTTTTCAAAGTTAACGGTGATCAGATATATGTATCATTTCACATTTTTCACTGCCAGTGACTTTTGTCTGGAAATCACGTAGTATGAAGCTGTTCACCGTTACACACCGGATTGTCCTCAAAGTTATTGATAAGTAATTTTCATATTTCCTCATATCTCTTCCAGTTTGGTTATTTTTGAAACATTAACTACCGGACTTTTTAATGCTTATAATGGGAGGGGACTGTACTGATTTATGTCATATTTTTATGTGTAATAGTAGCTCTGTTTAGCTGTTTAGTGTCACACACTTCTCCAGAATTAATAACCTAGGGTTCGACGAGATTCAACATTGATGCTGACCTTCATCGTTTTATCGGACTCGCTGAGCTGAAGGCACGCGGTCAGGCATCCACGCCATTTTGCACGCTGTCGTATTACAATCCGACTGCTCGTAATCGACTCTCTAACCAGCTAGTTGGGACACATGACCTCGCAAATATACTATTCCATCTGGCTACGCTATTGTGTTATTCTTTGGTCTCGTATTCGTGGGTATGTAACAAGTACGAATAATTAGTGATTGGTCTCTGCATCTGTCAAGTTTGCACAAGGACATATCTTAAAGGTGCAATACACTTGCTGCTAGTTTTCATGATTATCACTAGTTACTGTTTACACAGTATTTTTAGGTTTTGTCTCACGCGCTTCTAGCTCAATCTCAGTCCAAGTATTTATACTTTCCAAGTCTTTCTGCAACTTGTAGGATGAGGTTTATAAGCTACAGAAGATATGTGAAGAATTGCTATAAACAGACTACATTCACTTCCAATGCAAAGAATCTGGCTACAGTCGGTTAAAGTACATTGCATCGGTCTTCAAATTCATTTGCAGAGCGAAACGTAAACCCGAAGATATGTCATTGATTGGGAAGTCACAGTTCTTCTTGTATATGAGAATAATCTTAAGTCGATATTTCGAAACCGTTTGTCAGTGTTTCAAGTTCCATTGAATTTTAATCAGTATACTGACCTATCCTACAGAAAGGTACACAATCACACCTGTACTAAGTTTATTATAGTATGTGATGCCTGGAGCGGCCAACTGACAGTGGAAGAAAACGGAAACCTAAAGCCACTTTTACTACAGTTGTCATCCACAGATGAAGTTATACATATTAAGGAAGGGTTGAATTGACTAACAGTGAATAATGTTTAGAAAGTGAAATCCAAAGTCCTGAAAGGTTGTTTTGCACATACTAAGGTAATTTTTTTCAGACAGCTGGACACGACTTTCCGAGGGAAAATGCTATCTTATTGACAGCAATGTAAATCAAGGATATTGACAAGTAAGGGTTTGCTTCTTCAGTAATGATATATTGGAGCTGTACAGAACCAACTGGAATACACTCCCCCTATAATATAAACAGAGAGAGGGGGGATAGTGGGCATCCTTGACGGACACCACTTGATGAGTATAGCTCCCTGGACAACTCACCATAGGCTCTAACATGCCCACAAGTGTTCGAGTAGAGAGCTTTCAATAAGGTGATGTACTTACTAGGCACGCCTTTCAGTGACAGACACTGCCATAAGACTTCTCGATCAACGGAGTCAAATGCCGCCTTCAGGTCGAGAAATACAGCTATTGTCGGGCGTCTGTAAGCATGCCTATGTTCCAGGACCTGGCGCAGTGTGAATATTTGGTCGATACATCCACGGCCAGGTCTAAAGCCTGCCTGGTTTTCTCGGGCTTGCTGTTCCCGAGCTCCACTCAGGCGTCGGAGAATTATAGAACTTAGGATCTTAGACACTATGTTTGTCAGGCTGATTCCTCTGTGGTTATCACAAGAGGACTTCTCGCCTTTCTTGAAGACTGGGATGATCAGTGACTTAGACCAGTCGGAGGGGATCGTATTTGATTCCCATATACTGGCTAACACTTCCGTTAGCCTGACTAAGAGAACTCTACCACCATTCTTGTATACCTCAGCAGGTAGTCCGTCTGGTCCTGCTGCCCTTCCCCGTTTCAGGCTACCTACCGCTTTCTCACTTCTTCTAGTGTTGGGGGACCTGTCTCTATGTCCCATTCAGGGTCCGACTGGATAGCGGGCAGCGCAATGGTGGCTGGAGGCCAGTTAAACTGTTCCTCAAAGTGTTCTGCCCATCGTCCCAGTCGCCTTCCCTGCGAGTGAATCGCCGATCCGTCCTTCTCCGCTATAACCTCACTAACTGTTGTTGACCATTTCCCCCCAGTCTCCTTAATAAGTCTAAATAACTGTCTACTGTTACCGATCGCCGCTGCCTTTTCCATCTCTTTAGCCTTTGCTGCCCACCACTGTTCACGATCGTTGCGCAGACTTTTCGTCAGTTTATTTTTAAGTTGCGCTCGCTCTTCATTGTACTCAGAGCCTGCAGGGATGCATTCACGTGCATCCATTAGTTTGGAAGAAGCTGCTGATATCCACTGGCTCTTTTTAGCCATTATCTTGGAGTCGGCTACAGTCTCCAGTGCTGCTTTTACAGTAGACTGAAGATGGCACCAAGCTTCTTCTGGATGAGTGACAGTCTTTTGTTCCGATAACTGCCTAGCCAACTTCTCACTGAACACGGCTTTGGTGTTTTCGTTGTCCAGCAGAACTCGTAGTGGTTTTGTTGCCAAATTTTTTCTACGTCCATTGAGACGCAGGCATATACGTGCTCGGACCAACGCATGATCGCTGTCCAAACACGTACTCCAGAAGGAGCGGCAGTCTTCCACCGATCCTCTCCAGCGATGACTAATAGCAATGTGGTCTATCTGTGTCCATCGCTGAGTCGAGCTCGGTGGACGCCAGGTCAGACAGTGCCTTTCTTTATGTCTGAAATTTGTGCTGGCTAAAAATAGGCGGTTATCTGAGCATAGTTGTAATAGGCGATCACCGTTATCTGTACGTTCAGCTGGGATTCCGAAAGTGCCACCTAAGTGCCTTTCTGCCTCACTCAGTCTACCCACCTGTGCGTTGAGGTCACCTGCAACAACCACTACGTCCGAACGTTTGGCTTTCGAGAGGAGGTTAGACAGTTTATGGTAGAACTCGTCCTTCACTTCATCCGAACTACAGTCAGTGGGTGCGTAAGCAGAGATTACAAAGAGACAACGGCGAGTCTCACTATTCCTTTTAGTTCTCACTGTGCCGTTCAGCCTCATAGCGCAGAGGCGACTATCAACTGGGATCCAGTCTAGTAGTGAGTTTTCTGCCCTGGTGCTTAATGCTATACCTACACCTGCAAGACCACGAGAGCTAGCTATCGAATCTCCAGAAACTCGAAGGGTGAATTTTGCAGATTCACCAGATTGGTCAGGAGAGGTCAGGTGAATAACCACACTTGGGTCTCACAAACACAGCACACATCCATGCCCGAGTTGCTAGAGTCTTTGCCAACGAAGCCTGTTGGCCAATTTGACGGAGGGTGCGGACATTGAAGGCTCCAATATGTAATTTGGAGCGTGGTTTAAGGAGACCAGGGATGCTGTTCTGTGGACTCAGATCGTTGTCGAAGGCTGCAGAGGTAGGAGAAATTGAAGATGATGCAGCATCATTAATTAAGAGACGTGAAGGAAGATTAGAAGGTAATGATGGAGGAGGAGGATAGCAGTCAGAAGAAACTTGGGTGCTGACAGAGTTGTGAGGGCGGTTGACACTTCCCGGCTGCCCACACCGTGGAAGGCTATTTCTTCTTAAGGTACCTGAAAGAGATTTGTGTGACCGCAGAGCCCATCGGACATCTGCTTGAGGCCTGTCACACCCAGCCTTTTGAGTATGATTATTTTGAATTTTTGTATTTTTGGGGCCGGATGGGCGAAAGGAAACGACAAGTGAACCAACACCGCCGGCCCGGCAGACCGTGGGGCGTGGTGGAGTGTGTTATTTTTGGGGCCGACCTTTTCTAACCCCCCCTTCCACTGAGAAGGCAGCATCAGCTTGGCACTGCTGGTCATCCAAGGGAAACACCTTACTGCTGTCACACCCCATCCAGCTAGCAGCAGTACGACTTCGCCCTCAGACCCCCATCATAGTGTAGCAATTTACACTATAACGGTAACTGCTTTTCGTCTAACCACTACCCAACAGACCTTTCTGGTATGGTAGGACCTCGAGGGAACAAGCGTTCCACCAGCATAGCTCGTTGGGTCATTGTGATATGCAAGCCCGACCACCACGTCAAGGTAGCAGCTATCGGTCGGGTGTGACAGACTACAGTGATAACTCGTCCAGACCAAAGCAGGTGCTAGAACGTATGATGTTCAAGTTAAAATTAAACGAGATTAATAGGGATAGTGGAGATACTGCTTGCTTCATGGTAGGCTGGAAACAGTTGCATGACCAAGACATGTTCCGGTAGAACTAAATTTTAGTGACGGTTAATCAGGTTCAAGTATGCATCGATCAATCTGAACCAAGCAATATGAACGACAAAGTAACTATTAAGTAAAATGGCACTTCATTTACAATTTATACGTCTGTTATATAGGAGGAATAAAGATATCCAGATTTTCAACAGGTATATCAACTTTGAAACCACACCACTGTCTGCACTACCACTCATCCGTTTGACATCGAGGAGATCTCGAACTCTCGAAGACGACTGCACATAATTTCAACGTTGTGTGTACTCTAGTAGTCGGATTAATGAAGTGCTTTTTGTGGACGAGAACCTAATAGTGGTGATACATTCCAGATAACGGTATGTCAGCCTTCAGTCATCTGGGTATATAGTATCTGGACCTTCCGTTTTTCCTACGACTAGTAAGATAGATTCTTCTGAACCATCTTTTATCAACCGAAAATGTCTTTTCCTCGTATTTTGGTTGTACATAACGAGAATCTGCGATTTATCAAAACATGAATTTAACTTACCCAGTCCTGCTTAAGTCGTCATTCTCGGTAATACGTTCGGTACACAGTTCATTCACAGTATAGACTCCTCACAATCAATTCAACTTTCTGCAAATAGTCGATGCGATTTTCGTTGTAATTCATAAACAGCGAATGCAGTGTCAACATGGTAAGTGAGCAAAAGGGGATGGCTGTGATATGTATAATCTGCGACCTGATTGGTCAGTCTTATGGTTCTCCATCTCTGCCCATGTTCCTTTTAAGTGCTGAGTTCTGGTTTAGTCAGTTTTGTAGTCATACCTTGAATTACGTAGAGAAGACATAAGGGGTTGCATACAGTAGTGTTCTTGAAGCATAATAAAGAATATAGTGATATCTACGAAGTGGTGTATATATCCAGCCTTACTTATATCACTGACACCTTGTACTTCTTTATTTCCGCGAAATTAACCTGACGTTTATCTAGGGCTCGGCAACTAACCACACTGTTTTTAGTTTATTGGTAAAAAGACGAGTATGCATACTCCATTCAAGTCGTCGGTCCACTGTATACACTTTCTTGTTCATCTTTATCAGAGAAATTAACTGACGTCTGAACAAGGTTCAAAATCGAATTATTATAAAAGCGCTAATCATAAACACGAAATAGATGATTCACGTCTTAACACAACTCCACATCAACGAATTAATCTTCCAGCTGATCGTTTTCTAATTTCATCAAAAACAAGGGACCTAAAAAGGATCTCATAACCACTGCATAATTCATTGCACATTTCAGAAATAGTATCTTCAAATTCATAATAGGATTAGGAGGGTCCAAATTTCTCGTTACTAGATTTTCGCAAACATAATCAATAATATCAATTCAAATAATAGTGAGAAACACACATGATAAGTATATTTACCATCACACACCAGTTCATCTTGCAAACACTGAAGTGATAGAACCAAACATTTTATCATCGTATTTTCAGGTGAATTGACATATCCAGGATAGCACAAATTAGCATTTGAGGTTTGTGCATACTGCACAAGTCATAAATGTATTGAATCATGTTGCTTATTATTCAATATATTCCACAGAATTCACCTGTTATTTTCTGGTCCCCTCAATGAGAAACATAAGTCCTTTTTGGTCTTACCAGTTAAGTTTTTAATTAATGCTAGTTTCTACAACTTGTTTTCATTCCAAAATGCAGAACGTGCAGATATTTTTCCTGAACCAGCGAAGACTTAATAAACAGCCTTATCATTCCAAACCTCTGGATATTTTTCTTTCTGTTCAGCCTTTTAATGTACATACTACATTTCTTTAGATGTTGATCAGTTCATCCTTTATTATTAGCAACTTTAATTCATCCAATTTATTGATTATCAAAAGTGTCATATTCTCGTGCTGCTTTTGTAATCATCTGCACTCCGAGTGCTTCTGTTAACAGTTACCGTGACCTAGATGGTTATGGTTAGCAGAAGGATCCAGGATGCGCGTTTCGTCCTATTTGGGACTTGTCATAACCAACTAAATCACCATAACTGACATTCAGGCAATATCGAGGCATCCGCATAAGAGCCCATATGCCAATAAAGGTCGAACAATTCGATCCTATGAAATAACGGAGAATTACAAGTATATCAATAAATAGTAACAGCTACCGTGACCGTTGATATATATATATATATATATATGTATATATATGCATTCCGTTTTCACTGAGTTCATCAAGGGGTGATACCTCAAATGCATTAGTAGTTTCGTTAACTAGAATTGCGACTCTACATATTATTCTTCTGGATACCTGGGGATAAAAAATAATAACCTTCAAAATAAAGTATTGCTTCCTTTCTCTTGATGCTTATTGGTAGCTTGAAACAGATGTACTTATATACATTCACAAGTACCCCAGATTCTAAACTAGTGATATCTTGGAGTTATATTTAAGAACAGTTATCTGATAAATTATAAATTTACGTATTTTATTATAACTTGTCTACTCCTAATCGATGATTTTTGGAAAGCATTATACATAAGTCGTATTGATATCTGATACATGATTGGTACATATTTTGGGTAAAAATGTTTGGTTGATATGTTCGTCCACTATTTACCTGATGTTTCAGTGTATTACTGTTCTTATGTCATTTTTTCCATGCTATTTAGTCGATGTAGTCAATTTAAAAACACACTTCCTTTCTACCTGGTTAACTTAGACGTCATCTTTCAAACCAAAAACTTTATCGATAATTTCACAATGTGTTAAAATATCTGACTATTCTTTTTGATAGTAATCATCAAGGCATTCAAAACATTTTTTTGGAAGTTTAGTTTTAATTTACACTAGAGAAAATGTACCTTGATCAGCAGGACATAAGAGAAATAATAATAATAATAATAACAATAATAATAGTAGCAGCAATGTTAGGAGAAACTTGGTCAAATACCTAAGTGCTCAGTGATAAGTTTTAAACGCGGCAAGAATTGTATGTTATATGCTCATCGAAAAGAACACCAGGACAATGTATGCGGAAGAACTGCATGGAAAACAAGTGACTAATATCTAAATGATGAAGATTTACAAAACGAATTACCTCTCAAAAGATGGGGAAAATGCACGATTACTCAATAATAATAATAAAATGGAAAGTAATTAAAAACACACGTTTAAGCAGGTATACACATATTATAGACACGGTAGTTACACCAAGAAACATGAATATATGGATATACATGTGCATGTGTGTACGTGTATAAATAGATTATTTGCATATGTAATCTGTCCTTTTCTCGCATCACATTAAAGTATAGATTAAAACACATAAGTGAATAAATAAATATTATAAGTAGGAGAAGGTATGAACAACAGAAAAGGGTAATATGATACAACAACGAAATATTTAATTTAATAAATAATGGGAGCATATTATTAAGGTCTCCTAGTTGCCAGAAATCTAAGGAACACTTTGAATCGTGTATCAATAATAATAATAAACACCTTACTTCACGGTATGTAAGTGATGAGACTAGTAACAACAATTTAAAGGTTTTCTATAAGCTAGAGATCAAATAAACGGTGATATGCATCCATCTGAAGAATTTCGGATTGTTTATCAGATCATACGGTCGGTTAACTACCACCAACGTTTGTTCATATATATATATATATATATATATATATATATATATATATATATATATATATATGAAATGCTGAAGAAGAGATTCATGAGAAGGGAAAAAGATATACAATGATAAAATCATATATAACGAGGAATAATCTGTCCCGTCAGCAAACGGAAAACTGAGGTAGGCATTGTTCTTATATGTATCTGTGTTGATATAGGAAAAGAAAAAATGATATAAAGTAGTAGTTAAATAAAACCATTAAAATGAAAACCTGTTACGTAGATTAATACATCAAATAAATAAAAATGTGTGCGATAACTCAACTATGTAGTAAACAGTTAACTATAGCCAAGTCCTGGTGTACATCTGTTTACATTAAACAATTTACCTTCATACTCTTGCTCCCACCGGGATTCGAACTCGGAACCGGTCGCTCCAAGAGTCCAGGCGTTATCCACTAGACCACTGAGCCACGACAGTCACTTCTTGTGTGATGGGTATAGCTTTAGTGTTATTGCTTGTATTATACAGTCGTTGACTGGACCGAATTGACCAGTCTCTATTGGCATATGGGCTCCTACACGGATGCCTCGATATTGCCTGTGTTCTTAATTATATAGATCGATCAATTTAGTCAAATCAGCGAGGGTGTAATACAAGCGATAACGCTGAGTTAGATTATTCCTAATGTGGATTCCCAAAAAATTGTTCTATACAGTGACTGAAAAGATGACATGGGATATAATATATACTTGTAACAACTTCGACGTGTTTGAAATAAAATAATTCTAACGGTTCGTTTAAGAAGGTCACATAATAATTCTACTACAATTATTTATTTCATTTCAAACACGCTGAGATTTTGAAATGACTGGAGAGATTTGTAGCTCGGGATGGGGATGATAGTGGTTCGCTGTCACGGTGTGACAAAAATCTCTTCTCTAACTTACAGGTGGACAACACACAAGATAGAAAAAAACACTACCTAGAATTTGAATATGCTTCACTTCATTGTGAAGTTAGTGCTGGAAATTTCACTAAGCCTGGTGACGAAACGATCATGGTAAACAATTAGAACTTCGAGAACACCAAGCCAAAACCACGCTGACATTGTGATAAGTTTAAGTTTAAAGACGGGTGAGACATACGAGAACTTTGGAACAATAAACTTCATATTCTAAAGATTCTGACTATAAAATTAATAGGAGTATGACAGAAGAAACCTATTAACATTCTCATATCCCACAATACTCAATTCGAAACATATGACAATAAACTTTATTCAGAGACATCCCAAAGCATTGTTGAGATACCCTAATATTTATCCTGCAGAAATACGACATAGATGGTTAGATATTGGTTTTCCCTTTCAAAGGAATGAATTCAACAGTGATTTCATTCAACTTATTACTTACTTCGCCAACTGAAGTAGCTAAAAGTTGTACAATCTTTTCATGTGACACAGCGACTACACTTTCACCATTAATTTCAATAATTCTATGATCTACACGTATTCCACCTCGTTCAGCAATACCACCACGTAGTAAACTACATATCACTCCATCTTGAACACTGAATCCAAGTTGATAATTTAAGTTTGGACGACGAATAAGTACTTCAACAACAGGTGGACAGTTAATAACCATCAATTTAACAGTTGCACAACTTCGACAATTCTAAAAGAAATATTGATAAAAACAGATAAACTTTAATTACTAAACAGGCAGTTCTAAACATGTTAATTATAAATTGAAAACATATAAATTTCCATAGTGTAAATAGTGTGCATTTACGCACCTATCAGTAATTAAACATTTTGGAGCGAAAAAAATAAACGTTAAGATCCTGCAAGCAATTATAAAACCAGAGCTGAAAGTACCAACAAAAATATGACAACACTAAAAATCTTAGTTAGTAAAAATGATCAATCTCAAAGTAGTTTTTCTCAAGTGGTAAACAATCATTAGGAGTGTGCTGACCAGTAAAAGACAGCCAAAGCAAGCTTATGTCTATTAAATCACCACCAATTATCATAATGTATTGTGACATTGTCCAACTATTGTTACCACAGTTTTGACTGTGTCGACAGGTATACACACCAATTAAGTGTAACCACATTGATTAACTTTCACATTCTTGTACTTCTAAAAACAATATGAATTCACTGACAGACTACTAATCTAGTGACATATAACGTAACATGATTTACTTTTGATACACAACTGAGATTCTCATAGTTCATATCAAATGAAACACTGTAACAACTAGTGGTTGAAGTCTGTAATATCAAAAAAGTAGACAGCCATTAAAATGGTTGTTAGGTATTCATCGAGGCACAAACACCACTGCACATACATTTACCAGTGAATTCCTTGAGGGGAGTACATAAGGTCATAGTGACTATATGACAGACGTACAAACTGATATGACAACAGTATAAACTGTGGCCCTACTATGTCCTACTTCAAATCAGCTCAGAAAGAAAAGAATGCAAACAAAACCGTTAACAACTGCAAAACTAGGGGACGCATAAAGCTAGAATAAGAATACACAATGGTAAAACCTTTATGATGAAAATGAGTCGTGAGTGTATTCCTATCAGTAGGATCAATTAGGAACAATGTCAATTGAATTTCTTTATTTTCAATTCTGATTATTCCGCTAAGTTAAAGAGGGAAGTTCACATAAATCAGAACTGTATTTGGTGCCACCATTTCTATTGTAATCAAAATCTTCAGCGTAAAAGACTTTCATATAGTCAGCAGCTACGCAAGTGAAACGCAAGGGAGAAGAAAAACTCAATCTGAACTCCCTAATGTAAAACGAGGAATCGACATAAACTGAGCTTATTTGTTAGGTGGTGTAGAGAATCTCAGCATTAAGCAAGCAGCCATTTTTTCTGAACCCCAACATTATATAGATCTTGTTTCAACCTTAATCACCAACCCATTATATAAAAAAACATTTGTCAAACTATAGTTATCCGTCAGTAAATGTTTAACTGGATTTCATGTAAAAGTTTCGAGAAATACTATTGTCAGACTATTGTAAAAGATGGTCAGAGGAATAGACACCATCAACAAAATACAGCTTACCTTGATTATTTGTTGACATGTTAAAAGAGGAAGTCCAACTAAGCTTTGACCATTCACAGCCACTATTTGATTACCAATGTTGAGTTGTCCACATCGTGCAGCTGGACCAGTTGGGTGCATATTTGCTAATAAAGCAGTCGGCAGTAGACTACCCCAACCTGACTCAACAATTACAACACCCAATGCCTCACCTTTCTGTTTCGGTATAGTAACCTAAAAATGAAGGCATTTAACCAAATACGCTTATAAGTATGGTGATAGATATCTGTAGTTTGAGTCTTTACATCCTAACCTTTCGATTTCACTTTAGCAGAGTCATATTTAATGCAACTTTTCTAAGAAGTGAAGTTGGTATTCCCTGAATGGGTATTTACGAAGGTAACTGCAGAGAGGTGATTGACCCATTATACTTTCGCCTCAATTTGAAACATTACCATAAATGCACATAGGAGATATGGAAACTTCACTTCTTTGTGAAGTTGCACTGAAGATGACACCCAGAGTGAAGTTAAGAGGTGTGTCCATAAAAATCTACGACCAGCACTAGATGACTGATTGAGATAAATAATATAAACATCGCTATGTAGATTACAGCAAGAGTGAAACAATTAGTCTGTTTGCAACCGCATAGTTGACCACTTATATCATAACATATCATCCTACACATTTGATGCGAACTAAATTAAGGTGCAATTTATGTATTTATAGCCATTAGAGCATATAATCTTACTAACTTGCTGCTTCTGGTCTTCCATGATCACATACAATCAGAAACGATGAGTACAGTGGATGGCTAAGTATATTATAACCTCATCCAGTCAGTTGGAAACATGAAGTAAAATAATAGTTCAGAATCGCTTCCATTATTAGGGTTATCGATGCACTACCACTAGCCCTGTTGATAGCCTTGAAAGTTATACGCTATCCCACATCATATCTGCTGCCTTCTTACATAATATACCGGATGAAACACCTTTTGCAGATTAAGAAAAAGTGAGAGGACTACGAAAAATCAGTAGTAAAACTTGAATTATGATAGATGACATTTGGTGGAGTTTTTTTATAGCAAAACAAATTGTACTGTAAATAAAATACTTCCAGCAACCTTTGTTGATGCGTTAAAATAAAAATTTGAGAGTTTGACATTTACAGCCATCAAGACAAAGATTACTGTTCAATGTTAGTTGAGTTATTGATTTCAGAACAATCTAATGTGAAGATGACAAGTATTGAACTGTGATGCAGCATTAACATCAACTAGCGACACTAGTCTCAATTGTAACGATAAAAAAGAGAAGGAAAATCACCTTGAGATAAGATAAACACCATAAATAATAAACCGATCCCCTCCCGATCAAGAAAACTACTTTGGCTTCAATGATTCAGGATGTATTATCACAAGTTTGATAAACAAGATAGGTTTAGGGACAAAATTCAAAGCAGAGGTATTACATATAGAGAAACACATTAAAACATGCTAGATATGCCTATTAAAACTGTAAAGAATGTTATGTTAAAAAAATGACAGCGTCTTGAGGAAATCACTTCGAATCACTAGTCTTACAATGAAATCTTAAGTACAAGTGATAATGAACTGTTTATCTTTCTTCGGAAAAGGAGGTGTAGTTTTAATGGGTCTATATGACTGTTCAACGTAGTAGTGTTCGAAAACAACAACCGGGTCGCCGTATCCGCTTGGAATCGTAGTGTCAAATAAAACCATGAAATAGCTAAACCACATCCTATACAAACCAAAAAAACTCAGTCAACTAAGAAGAAATGACCAACGGTAACTACAAAGCCAAGTGCGATGACTAAGAACACTATCACGTAGGACAGTCAAGTACATCAGTATTACAACGCCAACATGAGCACAAGCTAACTAAAACGTTGTGGTATGAAGTCTCTCATCTGACTACACTTAGACAACTTCAGTATACTAGAACGTGCAAAGACGAGGAAATTAAAATTATATAAAGGATATCTCAAAGTTGTGTAGTTATCTTGATATGACTATGGACAATAAATTATGTTTGAAACGTAATCTAGTAAACAATACTGCTACACTGTGTGATAAATCTAATAAAGCAATAAAAATAGAACGTGCAAACTCGAATGCAACCGAAGAATTCTTTGAAGTATCGTACTCAAGCAACTTAGAAATAAGTTGCCACATTGATCTGGATGCATTAACGGACCTATTCGAAATAAATTAATTACAGAAGAAAAAGTGTTTACAATGTCCAGAATAGTTCAATTTAACTGTTCACTTTGTTCAGTAATATTAATTCCATAGCCTAATTTGACAGCTTCATACCAGAACAATTGCAAAATGTGATAGTGACGTAACAGCTCCCAAAAGAAACATGGGTAACACCATAATTTACCACACTAATGATGAACTCAGAAACTAGGTAGGTATTTATAAACGCAAAAAGTTGGAATCGAATTCAGATCAATGTTACTTAACGGTTGACAGTTCAATTAATAGAAGGGGAATACACAACTCTATAAATATCATTATTATTATTTGTCCCTTGGGTTCCTAGTGGAATATAGGGCTTCAGTTTCACGTCTCCATTTCACTCTCTTCTATGCAGTCTTTTCAACTTAGCTCCACCACTGCTCACAACCTTTCATTTCTTCCTCATACAATCTCTTACATGTCACACTCGCCTCAGACGCACAACTCGTCGGTTCCCATATAGGTTCCAATCAACGGCCTAGCATAGTCTAGCGGGTGATGTCCCAAAACCGTCTTCTCAGTGTACACCCAATCCAATCCATCTCCATTTTCTTCTACATGTTAGTTGGGTGACAGCTTCTTGGTTGGTTCGTTGCCAGCCACCCAGACACAGTTCCGTGTTGCTTATTCTTTCTGGCCTTCTAATATGATCTTCAATATCGATGAAGCGTAGGTCACACCTGTTGATTGATGTCTGTAGTTTGTTCGAAATGCTTTCCGTAACGTGCCGCCAAGTCCCTCAACCATCACATAGAAGCACTGACTTCACTGACATTAGTATTGAAAATCCAGATCTCGTTCACGCTTTATGTTTAATGGAGAGCAGTGCAGTAGATCTCCACACTGATTTCAGATTAACGAACGCCTATCTTGCTTTTCTAATCCTGACTTTGAAGTCCTCATCTGTGCTTGTGCCGCCTGTAGTTGAAACGGTGCTGCCTAGACTGATGAAAGAGACTACTTCCTTTAGGTTTCTCGCGTTGATGGTGACTGGTGCTTGTAGTAGTAGTAGTTGTTGTTGTTGTGGTTCTTGGTTACCTTCATCACCTCTGTCTTCTCCACGTTCACCTGAAGGAAGTCAAGTCTTCGCTGCCCGGCCTCTTCTGTCAACTTGGCAGTTTTTGCCTGTAGATTTTAGAGTTTGTACGACAAGACATTTGACATAAATCATCATCAGCGACATCCAGATCTTCTTTTGGGGTCTTTTCATCGGTCCAGTAAGCGTATGCCCATCTTCTCGCCCCTCATGGTTTGTTGCATGATCCAGTCCACCACAATCAAGAAGAATAAATATCATAGATGGATAAAATAAAACTAATCACCTCTATATGACTTTTTTTTTGGAGGGGCTTGTGGGGATTTGGAAATATTTCAAGGTTAATACCTACTTGAAAAAAAAACTTGGTATTCAGCTTGAAATATTTCTAGATCCCCATAACCCTCTCAAAGAAAAATCAATTAAACTGGTTGTCACTGGTGACTAGCTTCGAAAGGTGATTCCCGAAGTTCCAATGAGCAGCCGTGACCAGTGGGGCTAGCCTGGTCATGAGGACAGTTACTCGACGATGACACTGGATGACGGTTGCGCTATTTCGTGTTAGAAATAAGGACTATTAGATTCTGACCCAGTGGCTCAATGATAACGTGCTGGCTACGGAACCTGACGGTCGCGGATTCGGTCCCTGGAGGGGTCGTGGGTGCGCACTGCCGATGAGTCCCGTGCTAGGACGAAACAGCTGTCCAGTGCTCCCAGATTTCCATTGTTCCTCCAACTGATGTTAATCCACGATGAATACCAACTTGGAACTCTATATGACGTTTGAACGCCGACAAAAAATAATTATAAAATAGTTTGTAATATCATTCAATCTATCGAAATAAGAAAACAAGAAATATCAATTTTACTGTCTTGACAAAATCTTCATACTCATATTCTTTCAGCCTAACATTTTGATAAAAGAAACTGTGATTAACCACTTTTTGAATACTGATCACATCAGCTTTCTAATGACTAAATTTTAATCCCTATTAGTTTACAGTCTTATGATAATTCACATGCTTACATAACCTATTCGTTTTTGCAACTTCCTGATGATAACCTTCTATGTACTGCTGCATTCTTCACATTTTCTATCCGATCTAATACAAATTGCCATTCATTTTTACTAGGAAATGTGATTCGCATTTTTTGCACCTATGAAAATCACTGGTCTAGTGTTATTTGCTCTACTCTTGTTATGTTGTGTGATACGACTGTCCAGACGCTTCAAAGAAGGCCAGAATTCATGAAATCTTTCATAGTCAATCACAATACTCCTAAGTTTGGAGGAAACACGTAAATATCAGATTTTCTAGAATGGTGAAATGAATAAAGAATGGTCATTTAGAAAGGCATGGAAGAACCAAGGCCACTGTAAGTATATGTAAATCGCTGTTTCTTGCATTTATAATTTGACACTGCAGTACATTTTTTTGTTTCACCGTTTTTTCTGCTTCCAGAAGAATTGAGCGACCACCAAGGACAGAGTTTGAAGGTCATTGTTCAGATGTCCACACGTACATATCAGGTTATAAAAATTCCTATATATCCAAAGTACGCTATGTAATTATTATTATCACTGATATATCCATTTTAGGATGTATTGCAGCTGATGATCAATAGTGAAATAAAATGAGCTAATTTAATGTTATGAAATCAATTTATTCTTCCTTTGTCCAAAATTATGAGGGGGGAAAACGTGTCACAATTCATAGTTTCTTTAACTAAAACTACCGTAAATACATAAAGAATCCTATTTGAGACATAAATATAAATACGCATACCTCTTTATGATTGTCTTTATCACAGAATAACGAAAGTTCATCACAGAATATTTCTTGTTGCTTTAGGACATCATCATAATCCAATTGTTTTATAATACCTAAATCTTCAATACCATTTTCTTTAAGAAAATCTAGATAAGCCAACTGAAATGCATGTCCAACTGTTTGAGCAATTAACTGGGCCTGAAAAATAATAACAATCAAAATCGAATAATATATGTATATTCGCTGTAATATTCAAAAATGTTCACCCTAAAAACTAAATAATATATAAAATTATCAAAAATACAACATCACATAAATTTTCTACTTTTAGCTTTCTTTTTACAAGCTGCAGTTATTTAAGAGCCAACCAAACACTTTATCAACAAATCAAATTCCTTATATTGTTAAAATGTCTGCCAACAGGAAGCGTATGGGAGCTGCTTACTATCCCGTTTCCTGTTTTATTATCCTCACTGTCACAACAGTGAAATATTAGGTGAAACCTTTAATGATCAATATATTCTATATTGCGATGACTCGATATACATAGTTAATAGACCTAAGCGAATTCACATTGATTACATAATAAGTCAGTTGGTTTAACCCATATGTCAAATGAAGCTCACAGTAAGTACTCGTATGTAAGCGATTTTTAAAGGCATCCTGACAATGTCAGCAGTTGTCATTTTTGTATGCTAACACCACTCACAACAGATTCTTATAAATACATATATTTGTACGAAACGAACGAAATGCGCTCAGCTAACTGGTGCACATTCGTGTAGTAGGCAATGAACCCCATCTATTATGTGTGAACTAGTGATACTACCGCTCTGCTCAAACCACAATCGGTGGGGCAGGGCTCGAACCCGTGACCCAATAGCTGGTAGTCATCTCCTTAAGCCACTGAACCACAGCTGGATGCAAGCAACCGGTCTCAACAAAAAGCGATTATATACATACATATATATATAGCCTTCTGACCGGAATCAGTAAGTTCAAGACTTTTCCAGTGTTTTACTAGGTGAGTTTCAATGAGAGGTTCAAACCCTAGGCCTCAAGTTTAGTGATCATGTACAGAAAATTAATGAACTTGAGTACTGGTAAACAGTTTGTAAGCTTGGTTGCGTCATCAGATAGTGGACTGACCATGATGAAAACTACGATAGTCCACAGCTGCCAACAGTAAAAAATGGTAGGAGTTCTACAAACAGTTTGTTGATGAAACAACATCGAGAAGACTTTCAAAAGCTAAGGAAGAATGAAAAGCTAGTTATGAGTAAGCGGGACGAGGGAGGAGGTACAGTGTTGTTGGACAAGAGAGATTATGTAGACAAAATGAATTCCCTTCTGAGCAACCAAACTATGCTCCAGAAGGTCGGTGATTCTAGAGATTTGAGTGCGTGAGTAGAAAAGCAGCTGAATATCTGTCTTAAAAAACTACAACAAACACGTGTAATCTCAGCAGCATTACATGACTCACTGAAGCCCACAGGTTGTAGCATACCACAGCTTTATGATCTGTCTAAAATCCACAAACACGAACTTCCCCTTCAACCAGACTTAGATATGTATAACTCGCCATATCATAAAGTCGCCAAATGGCTGGTCCATATCTTAGGACCCCTTCACAGACTAGTTGTAAAACATAATGTGAAAGGTGTATCCGATTTCATCTCGAAGGTGGTAGAGGTGAATATGGGTGGAAAACGCATGATATCGCTAGATGTATAGTCATTATTCACTACTGTATCACCCACTGGGACAGTTGATTTCATAAGTCAACAGTTGATAGAATAACGAATCAACATTGGAATTTCGGAGTCTAACCTTAAGAAGTTACTTATTAGGTGTACAATGAATATACACTTTGTTTTCAACAGTGCATGTTATAGACGAGTGGATGGAATCGTAATTGGCTCACCATCAGGCCCAATCCTTGCAGACTTCTTTCAGGTCAAACTAGAGAATGGACTACTGAAGGATGTCAATAACAAGCTGGATATGCATTAGATACGTGGAGGCTTCTTTAACTATCACTGATCCCAATTTGAAAACGAACGAATTACTGAGGGATTTTAACAATATACACCCTTCACCTGGGAAAAAGAACAGGACAATGGGCTGAACTTCCTTGATATTCTACTAAGTACACACGGAGATGGCTAACTTTTCAGAAGTGTGTACAGGAGAAGTAAATCTGCATGTCAATACATACTCTTCCTTAGTTCCATAGCTATACGGTGCAAAAGAAATTTGATGAAATGTTTGACAGCCAAAGGAAAATCTTCTCGGACGACACTCTACAGAGTGAGTTGAAGTCCATTTCGAATTCTTTAACTGAAGAAGGTTAACCTAGAAATTTTATAAAAAGGCATTTGAATAGATTGGGTAGAAAGACTTGAGACAGGAACTGTTCGAAAGAAACTACTTCTCAGAAAGCTACAATTTATTGAGGATATAATTAGTGAGATCCCAATTCATATATATATATATATATATATATATTAGGTATCAACCAATCAACGTAAAATTGTGAGTCAACAAAAAGAAGAATGTGGATTGTGCATTATTATTATTATCATTATTATTTGTCCCTTAGGTTCCTAATGGAACATAGGGCTTCAGTAGCACGTCTCCATTTTACTCTGCTCTCTGAAATTTTTAAAAAAGCCTGGCTCCACGACAGATCAGAAGCTCTCGTTTCTTCCTCATACGATCTCCTCCATGTCACCCTCAGACGCCAAACTCGTCACTTCCCATCTGGGTTCCACTCGAAGGCCTGGCCTGACACGTGATGTCCCCAGTCGCCCTTCTCAGTGTATGCCCAATCCATCTCCACCTCCTTCCAGTACATATTTGTTGAGCGATAGGTTCTTGCTTTGTTGCTTCATTGCTAGAGTTCCCTGTTGCTTATTCCTTCTGGCCATCTGATCTTCAGTAACGAGCCAGAGTAGGCAGTTGTTGATTAATGTCTGTAGTTTCTTGGAAATCCCTTTCGTAACGCGCCAAGTCTCTGAGCCACATAAAGCACTGACTTGACTAAATTGGTGTTAAAAATCCGCATCTTGTTCCACATGCTAAGTGCTGAAGATCTTCACACTGGTTTCAGGCTAATGAACGCCTGTCTTGCTTTTCCGATTCTGACTTTGACATCCTCGTCTGTCCCGCCTGTAGTTGAAACGGTGTGGCCTAGAGATAGGTGAAAGAGGATACTTCGTTTAAGTTTCTCTCGTTCATAGTGATTGGAGCTTGTTGTTGCTGTTGGTGAAGGTGGTGTTGGTTGGGTATCTTCATCACCTCTGTCTTCTCTACGTTCACTTGAAGCCCTGTCTTCGCTGCCCTACCTCTTCTGTCAATTTGTAGGATTTTGCCTGTAGATCTTCAAGTTTGTGTGACACTAGACATAAGGCATCGGCGAAATCCAAATCTTCTAGGTTCTTTTCCCCGGTCCAGAGTATCCCCCTCTTCTCGTTCCTCACTGTTTGTTGCATGATCCAGTCCACTACAATCAGGAATATCATGTATGATAGTTGACAGCCTTGTTTTACTCCTGTTTTCACTTCAAAAGCATCATTGAGCTTCCCATTATGAATAACTCGGCATGTGGCGTCTTCATATAGTTGTTGAATGAGGTTGATAAACGTGTGCGGTATTCCGTAGTGTTGAAGCAACTGCCAAATTACTTTTTGGTCGACGCTGTCAAAGTCGATGAAGTTGAGGCAGAGATCCAGTTGACTGCCATTCTATACTCTATTCTATGATGATGCGTAGTGTAGCGTTGAAATTTGGTCCGCACATGATTTGTACTTCCTGAATCCAGTCAGAAAATTGTTCTGGTCGTAGTTTTAAATCCAGAGCATCCTTGAGTCTCTCCAGGATGATGCGGTCTAATATTTTGCTTGCTTCGGGTGGACAGGAGCGTGATTCCGCGCCAATTCTTGCAAAGACTTACGTCGCCCCTCCTTGGGAGTTTGACAAGGTAGCCCTTCTTCCAATCAGTGGGCGGGTACCTTCCCTTCCTTCCACACCTTCTGCAATAGTGGTGTGAACATGTCCGCTGTTGTCTCTTCGTCTGTTTTCAGTGCTTCTGGCGGGATTCCATCTGGTCCTGCTGCTTTCCCGCATTTCAGTAGCTTTATGGCATTCAGGACTTCCATTTTTGTTGGAGGATTTATGTTCACTTGTAGTTCTGTGGCTGGGCTGCGGTGGTATTTCTGGACGATATGCAGGTGGTGGTCGATTCAAGAGCTTCTTGAAGTGGTCGGCCCATCGTTTCCTCTGTTTCTCTTCTTTCGTAATTAAATCTCCTTCATCACCTTTTATTGGTTTCGTCTGTGTTTATCTCTTCCCTGCCAGAGAGTAACCTGGTTATTTGATACAATGTTGTCAGGTTTCTTCTACCTGCAGCCTGTTCTGCTTCACTTGCCAGTGTTTCGTAGAAGTGTCTTTTGTCTTTGCGCGCACTCTTCATTTCTTTGTACAGAGTGTTATACATTGTACTCACTTCCTCTTGTCGTTGTGCATCCTTGCATTGGTTCATCTTCTGCTTCACCATCCTCCTTTCCCTGCTCTATCAGCTCCCATGTGTCCATCGAGATCCATTCCTTATCTTCTTTCTTCCTAATACGGTTGTGAAGGTTTCTTTCCACATAGCTTTCAAAGAATTCCAGTGTTCATCCACACAGGTTTCTTCAGGGATGTTCCTCGATATCTCCCATTTTGTCTTGATGACTGATGTGAAGATTTTCTTTGTAGTTTCATCCTTCAGTTCCCGAGTGTTGTACTATGACTGCGGTCTATCACCAGCTTCCTTGAAGGCTTTATCTTGATTTGGAAGGTTCCTTGCACTAGATAGTGAGTGGTGTGGACCTACATCTGCTCCTCTTCTTGGTCTTGTATCAAGTAGGCTGCGTCTCAACTTTCTTGAGATTGAGATAAAGTCGATCTGATTTTTAGTGTAACCATCTGGTGAAATCAAATCCATGTCGCTTTGTGGATATCCTTGTGCTTGAACACACTGCCTGACTCCTATCACTAAATCGTTGGATGCACAGAATTCTGCAAACAATTCTCCATTCTCGTTCATCACCTCATGGAGCGCTTCTCGACCCATGGTTAGTTCTCTTCCTGTGTTATCCGCTCCCAGTTTGGCATTCATGTCGCCCATTAGAATTTTGATGTCACCAACTGGGGTC